GGGGGTGGTTCCAGGGTAGGTTGGTAGGGTGGGGTGTGGGGTGGCCGCCTGGGTGGGGGTGGCTCCTGGGTGGCCTAGGGGTGGCCCAGGGGTGGTGGCTCGGGGGGTGGCCGGCCCAAGAGGTGCCCCTGCCCAGGGGTGGCCGGCGGCGGCAGGGTGGCGGCGGCGGCTTCTACGCATGCCTCCCCGGGCACGCCAGCTCCCCTTCTGGAAGCCGCGCCCCACCTTTTGGAAGCCGCTCCACCCGCCCCGGCACGCTTGCAGCCGCGTCGAGATACCATGCGTGCTGCGCTCGCCACGCCTGCTGCGCTCCGCCGCAGCACGCGAGCACGACCCCCGTTTTCACGACGACAGCGCCCGGAACGCCCAAAATCGGCCCTCCCGACCGGCCTCTGGCGCGCCACTGCCCCGCGCCGCGCTGCCCCAGGCGCCCCGCGCCTGCGACTCCCTGAGGAGGCCTTCTCTGCCTCGAGGGAGCAGGCAGCAAGTGGCCGGCCTTGGGCCTGCACCCCGGCAGGCCAGGCCAGGCCCCAGCCACCCAGACCGACCCGACCACACAGTGATTGCACTGAATGTCATCTTTTTGCGAGCATGGTGCATCGGATGCTTGTTTTCTACTGGTCGCAGGTTGGCAGAGGTGGCTGATGATGATTTGGATGAAGAAGACATTCTGCTGGCGCGCATGGATGGAGGACTGTACACAGTTCAGCAGGTTGGCGCCCTGCCATGATTCACTTCCAGCCACATGCTTCACTTATTGCATGCAGTGAGTCAAATCAAAAGCCTGGCTGTCCTTTGCAGTGTGCGCTGGTGGTTGGAGCGCTGTGGCTTGTGGAAGACACAGGCATACGCAAACGCATCCTCAAGCTCTTGCATCAAAAGGGCCGCACGCTAGCATCTTTGCGCAGCGTGCTGCTGGAGTATCGCGCCAACCTAGGCGATGATGGTGAGCGCAGACAGCCAGGTGGAGTTTGAGCTGAGCAATGCGGTTTGGTGTCGCAACCAGACGCGGTGCGCCGTTGCAGGTGGTGTGGAGGAGCGGCAGCGACAGATGGAGCGCACCACCAAGATGCTGATGGCCATGGGGCTTGGCGACGAGCATGCAGCCACAGAGGCCATTGATGCTGTACCAGTTCACGACGATGGGACAGCAAAGACGAGAGTGGAGGAACAGCAGGAAGTGGCAAGAGGGGTGTTGCCACCTGTGGAGGGTGGGCAGCAGCAGCAGCATGAGATGGTGCAGGAAGGTAGCAGGCAGGAGCGAGTGCGCCCGCGGTCTTCGGGAGAGAGCAGGCGCAACAGACGCAGCAGGAGCCGGTCCCGGTCCCCAAGGAAAGAGAAAGAGCGAAGTCGGCACAGCACGCGCCACAGGAGCCGGTCACCGAGGCGCGAGCGGCGCAGCAGGAGCCGGTCACCGAGGCGCTGAGGCAGCACTTGTGATTATGGTAACAATGTCGGTGCTCCAGGCAGGCAACAAAAGGGCAGTTTGGTGTCAAAATGCTGGCAAGCAGAAGGCTGTCAAGGGTGCGCTGCCAGCTCAGGCAGCCAGAGCAGGCATGTCAACAGTGGTGCCACCTGTTCCACGTTCCCCGCCTGCGCTGCGGCAATAGTAGAGTGCAGCTGCTGCAATGGCTAGTGGGTACTGCACGTGCAGCAGGTGCAGGGTGGCTGCCCGCCAGTCCCAGAGAGACACCTCCTCCCGGGCCGCAGTGCCTATTCGCGCCCGGAGCTCAGGGTGTTCAATTAGCTGCGCCACCTGGCCAGCCGCCTCCTCAACATCGCCTGCAGCAGGTGGCAAGCATGATGGTTTAAATGCGTTGTGGCCTCAACGGCCCAAGCAGAGCAGCAGGTCGACCTTGGAGACAAACCGGATTGGTAAAGATAGCCAGTCTCCCCTTGCTTAGTCAGGATGTCAGGGATGCCACCAGCCCTTACGGCCACCACCGGCACTCCGCTGGCCATGGCCTCGAGCACCACAAAGCCTGCACCAGCACCAGCAAACTGAAGATCGCACTGGCTAGTGAGGCGTCAGGGACGAGGCAGGCTTCCCATGCAAGCGCAGAAATTAGACAAGAGTGGGGCGGCTGCAGGCAGCATGCCGCTGCATCCTGCACTCACCCAAGGTCTCTGTCTCGGATGGCATTACGAAGATGTCGGCCGAGGCATACGCCGTGCTGAGCTCCTCGCCATGCAGCATCCCGGTGAACACCGTGGCCGTGTTCATGAAGTACTGCTTGAGCTCCTCACGTGCCGGCCCATCGCCCACAAATGCTAGGCGGGCGCCAGGGATGCGCTCCAGAATGCCCTGCAGGTTTTGGAATGGCAGTAAATGAGACGGCACAGCAGAAGGTAGACTGCTGGCTGCTCCCTGTAGGCAAGGGGGAAGCTGCAGGCGTCTGTCCCGGCAGGCAGACAAACCTTGAGGAACTTGAGGTTCTTCTCATTGCCCAGCCGCCCCACAGACAGCAAGATAGGGGCGTCTGGTTTGCCGCCGCTTAGCCGCTCGCGCATTGCCTGGCTGCGGAAGCGTGGGTGGAACGTGTCAGAGCAGACACCCTTTTTCCACACTTCAATGGCGTGTGCAGGCGGCGCCTCCTGCAGGAGAGGGGGTTCAACACACGATGCTCGAGAGGACACACGCAAGCTGAAACTGTGTGGGCTTTGAGCAGAGGAAAGCCAGAATTAAAGATTGTGCACACACTGTGGACAGCCGCGTGGGGTGGGGGGTTGGGGGGGGCGGCAATGTCGGTGCACCTGCGCCGCTAGCTCTGCTGCCATGACCCCGCTGGTGACCAGGGTGAGGTGCGCGGCGGCATGAAAGAAGCGGATGATAGCCCACATTGCTGAGATGAACAGCGTCATTGCGTACCTGCAGGCAGTGGACAACAACGAGAGGCAGCAAAGGCAGCAGACCGGAGGAGCAGAGTATGTAGGGCACCAACTCTGGTGAGAAACTGCTATCAAACGGTCACCGGCAGGAGTACCAGCTGAATGCATCAAGTGCGTGCGTAAGTGGCAGTGTTTAGCCAACCTGGGCATGTACTCGGGCACATGTGTGTGATAGGAGTAGACAAGCGGTGCCTTCAGCAGGCGGGAGTAGATGAGGGCGGCCAGCCACATGATGCCGGGACTGGAGCAGTGGATGATGTCGGGCTTGAAGGCCCTGCGGGCAGGTGGGCGGGCAGGCGGTACAAAGGTGGCAGCAGCTGGGGTGGCTGCCTTCTCGCCCCTGACAACTTTCCCAACCAACGTGGCCAACGCAATGCGCGACGAACCCACTTGACTTCCTTGTAGATACGAGGGGACAGGCCGAAGCTGAGGGGCAGTGACAGGTACCAGGGCAGACCAAAGCTGAAGGCCTGCACAACCCGCGCGCCGTGGAATTCGGCAGGCTGCTCGCAGGCTGCCGAAAAATCGATGCCAGGCGCGGTCATGCCGGGGCCGGGCGTCACCACCAGCACGTCCACCCCCGCCTCGGTGAGGAAGCGGATGGTGTTGCGGTAGCGGTTCATGTAGCCACACACGTAGGTGAAGGGTGAAGGCTCCACCATGATGCACACCCGGTTGGGGGACCCAGACGTCGACTTAAAGGAGGCTGGCAAGGCGGCTGGCCCTGCGCCGCCTGCCGGACGGGCCGCCGCCGATGCTGCCAACGACAGAGTGCGTTGCCGGGGGGGGCGTGGCAGCAACGCTACAGCAGCAGAAGGGGAGTAGTGAGGGGGGTGCAGTAGGGTTGGAAAGGGCGATTGTTGCTCCGCCGTCAGCTGGTGTCGCCGGGGCGCATGCTGAGGGGAACCTTTGCAATGGCACATCTGAAATATTCTTGGGCAGCGCGCCGGGCTCACCATTTCGCAACCGAGCGCCACGCCCAGTGTGTGCCAGGCTTGCGGCCTGGCAGGCAGCCTGCGCAAAGGCGGGTGGTGCCTCACAGCTCAAACACACCGACAAAGTTGCTGGACGAACGGTAAGCATGGCTTGAAGGGTGTACACTGCAATGATGAAGAACTGCAAGCTGCTTGAGCATGCCCTTAGGGTGAAGAAAAAAACCTTTCTTCGAGAAATCCTGGAAGAAACTTACATCAGAAAGGCTTGTAAACATCACGCAGCTGATTGTTGAAGTTTAACAAAGAGAGGTCTCCAGCTCCACACACCCTTAAAACTCAAGCCAGCTTTCAACGCTAGCTTCAGCCTCCTTGAACGTGTTGAGCTCAAAGTTAGAGGGTGTAACATGGCTGCGTGGCTGAGGAGCGTCCTCGACTGGCTTAAGAGGTGCCCCGCCGCCGCCGCGCTCCCCGCCCCCGCGCCGCTGCTCGGCAGCGCGCAGTGCCTCATCCCCCTGCTTGCATCCTAAGTCACCGCCCCTATGCTGCCCTGTGCCGCCGTCCGCCGCGGGTGCGGGTTCCCCTGCCGCTCCAAGTTTGCATTCTTGCGTCCATCAATGTTTGAGTTGCCCTGCAGCCTTTTTTTTACGCGTGAAATGGAGCTAGCCCTAATCGGCCTGCAAAACGCCGGCAAGACGTCGCTCGTCACGGTGCTGACCTCGGGGCAGTTCCAGGAGGACATGATCCCGACAGTGGGATTCAACATGCGCAAGGTCACCAAGGGCGGCGTGACGCTGAAGTGCTGGGATCTGGGAGGCCAGGTACGCGAGGCCCTGCTCGTATGCTTACATGACAGCCGGTCAACTAGACCGATTATTGTCGCCCTCTCCCAACATCACCCCCACACACAGACGCGGTTCCGGTCGATGTGGGAGCGGTACTGCCGCGGCGTGCAAGCCATCGTGTATGTGGTGGACTCGGCTGACCTGGACAGCCTGGATGCGGCAAAAGAGGAGCTGCACGCGCTGCTTGTCAAGCCCTCGCTGGTGGGTGGGCAGGCGCTGCCGACTGCCGTTGTCACGTGTTCGTGAGTCACTGGCCTGCATCCCACGCCAGGCTGTCAGGCACACCGTGTGCTAGTGGTGGCTGCTCCCGCCACCCTGTTGATCCAGGGAGCAACTTGGCTGTTGCTCCACCCCTGCAGGCCGGCATCCCGCTGCTGGTGCTGGGCAACAAGAACGACCTGCCAGAGGCGCTGTCGGTCAACGAGCTGATCAGCCGGCTGGAGCTCAAGATGATACAGGACAGGGAAACGTCGGTGTACAGCATGAGCTGCCGGACGCAAGCCAACCTGGATGTGGTCCTCCGCTGGCTGCAAGCGCATGCCAAGTGACACTGTGCTGCACATCTGTATGTGTTCATTATAGGGCGTGTCAGATCGCTGCAGTCAGCTGTAACATGCGAAGAGAGTGTGGAGTTCAGGCGAGAGCGCCGCCGCATATCGGCTGCAAACAGTTGCAGATCCTCGGGTGAGCAGCCAGGTTGGTACCCGCGAGGCGACTGCAACCAGGTCGCTAGGCAGCATGTCGCGGCCGCGTCAGCGTCCGCCGCTGTGCAGCGCGCACTGCCGTTTGGTGGAAGGCGTTATGCAGGGTTGCGGCTGCACGGCTCAGGCCCAGGCTCATGCTTGCCAGCACTGTGGGTGGCTGGAAGAGTCCGCGAGCATGCGCCTGCTGGCCGGCCCCACTGCTGCCATCTTCTGCCTGCTGTCCCACGCCGGCAGTGCTGGCAATCAGGTCGTCGTCGTCGATGTCAGTAGGAGGCTCCTCCTCCTTGGCCGGGACGGCCACCTTATCTTTGGACTTGGCCGCCTGACTGCTGCCAGCAGCGGCGGCGTCCGCTCCCTCCATGCGCCGGATGCGTTGCTGCTCTCGCTGCAGCTTCTTCTCCAGTGTGCGTTGCCTGCAACACTCAGGACCGCAGGTGTGCATGCAGTGAGTTATCTGGGGGTACTCATCCGTGTGGATGATGGGCGTTGCCTCCTGCTGCCCCCAGCGCTGACTACCCTGTGTCCCGAGGGGCATTACCCCTGGCAGCAAGAATGGCAACCATCACCATGGCGGATAGGGACGGTCGCGGCGGGAGCTCACTTGCGGGACTGCTTCTTGCGCCAAAGCTTCATGGCCTTGTCCATGATCGAGCCGGGGGCGGGGTCGTAGGGCAGGTTGTACGACTGGTAGATGCGTGCATGCATGTCCGCAGCCTGCACCATCGCGTCCTTCACGCTGTCCACATCTGCACGCAGCGCGGTTGCATCAACCTCACCATTGTCACCAGGGCACACCCTGCATGACATGAATGAGCTGCCTCGAGAGGTGCCAGCAACTTGCCAGGGATAGGGTGGCACTGCCCCAGCGGGCCAGGTGCAAGGAACTTGGTGCCATGGGGGTAGTGAAGCGGGTCCTGGAATGCATGGGCGGATGGTGGCAGCCCATCAGCCCTGGCTTGGGGATGCACCCACGCCGACGGATGGCTTCCCACGCCAAGCAGGCCGCAAATGGCGCCGCCTCCTAGCTCTAGAGAACAAGCAGGAGTGTGTTGCTGCACCAACCAGCAGCCCGGCTACTACATTGGCTGGCGTTGCTACGGCCACTGGCTGCACCTGCATGACTGGTGCCGGCATGCCGTTGCCATCCTGCGCAAAGCGCATGGTCACCTCGCCATCCGGCTTGAACTGAAACATGCGCGTCTTGGCCACCACGGCGTCCACCTCCTGCTCCGTACCCCTGCACCATTCAACCAGCGGGGTCGTGCTCTGGCATCCGACTCATGGCTCATCTCTACATCCCTCCGGCCACTTGCTGGTTCGATGCCCACACATTTGTCAATGTTGCTGCAATGCCGTGTAGCGACTAAAACAGCAGGCAGCAGCTGCCCACCTGATCTCTGCGATGTGGCACCAGCGACCGCTCTCGTCGGGTCCCGTGAAAAACGTGTCCTTCAGCCAGGTGCCGCGCCGTGCACTGCGCTCAATCTCAGGCTGGGCCTCGGCCCAGGCAGCGTCCGCATCCATCCCCGCCTCCACGCGCGACAGGAATGACTTGGTGTCGTACTCGATGCCGCAGCTGCAGACAGGCAGGGTTGTGCGTCACATGAGTCCAGGAGAATGAATACCGATGGCAGCGCTGGAGGAGCACAATGACACAGGTGAACATGGCCACTGCTACTGCTGCAGCAGGTGCGGGGTGCGGCCGCACAGCGGCAGGAGCCACCCACCCGTGTCGCATGCCGCTGGTGAACTCGCCGCGGTACACCTTGCCCTTGGTGCTGGTGTACTGGCCCATGCCGTGCGCAAACCCGGTGTCAAACTCGCCCTCATACCGGTCCCCGCGGTCGGCCTTCTGGATGCCGCCGCCCAGGCCATTCCCAAACACCAGCACGCCCTTATTATGGGGGATGCTGTTCAGCATCAGGCCCTCGTACCTGCAAGCCAACAAGATAGCTGAGGATATCCCCAGCTGTGGCGATCAGTCAGGGCGTGCAACGCATTGCTCACGTGGTGCCATCATCATAGGCAAAGCTCTCCCATTTCAGCGCATTGCCCACAAACGGCGCATACGGGTGGTTGCTCCCGGCAAGCCACCTGCAAGCAGGGTACACCACGTGTGTCAACGCGAGAGTGGGAGGCGGCGCCAAGGCGGCCGGCGCCGGTTCAGGCAAGTGTGGACATTTCGCCCTGCGTCGACAGGCTGCCCTGTCGTGCAAGTGTGACAGTGCGATGAGCACTGCGGGCTTGCGGGCATGATGGGCATGCACTGGGGGCGGGCCGGTATGCGGCAGCAGTGGCAGAAATCAAAAACATCATCAGTCTCGCACCATTGCGGCTGATCTGGTGCGTAAAGAGCGGCGTTTCCCGCCTTCGCCACAAATTTGGCCATTGGAGGCGCATTGGGGTCCTCCATGGCGTCAGCCATCTCTGCAAGGCGAAACTGAGGACGTAGACGGTGACCGTCCCTGAAAAACTCGCGACGCGATCAGGAGCACAGCACCCAGCAGGAGAATGAAACTTTGGGTTGCCAAATTCCGCTGAAGCATTCTCATGAGATCAGCACCACCTGAAATTTGGAGGAAATGCCTGCTATAGCAACCGCTCGTGCAGTGTGCGTCGTGGTGGTGAAACCCACCTACGCCACCAGACCCACCCCTCATCGCCCGAGCCTGCACAGCTTCAAGGCAGCGGCCCAGCAGCAGCAGCAGCAGCAGCAGCAGCAGGTGATCCACTGGCTAACATGTGCAGCGGCGGTGGCAGCGCCACGGGCGCCAGCGGCAGCGGCGCAGCAGACGGGCCCACTCCCTACACACTCGTACCCCACCTTCACCAAACGACTTTGCCGCCCGCTGTCTTCACTGTGATTGTTGAGTGCAGGGCAGGCGACTTGCAGTGTGCCGAGCGAGTGCAACAGTGGCACAGGTGCAGGCGGAAGCCAAGCAGGAGTTTTATGAGGTTAGTGGTTGCCTCGGTGTTTTTTCAAGCCATTGCCGCCCAGCTTGCCTGATGCTGCTGCCCTTGCCCCTCGCTCACTACCCCCTGCCACCGCTGTGCCGCGGCCCCCCTGCAGGTGACCCTGAGCAAGCCGCTGGGCATCAAGTTTGCGCGTGGCAACGACGGCGGCGCGTATGTTTCGCGCACCGACCCCACGCTGGGCAACACTGATGCCAGGATTGAGGCGGGCGACAAGGTGGTGAAAGTTAGCGCATCCTTTGGCGGGGATGTGTGGGAAGCCATCAACTTTGGCCAGGTGCGCACAGGGCCCCACCGGACCAGAGGGAGCAAGCGGTGCATTTTGCACAGCGCTCGTCAACGGGTTGTGCATCGGCCACGCCCCACAAACTTGCCTGCGCCCCATTCCCCCTCTTCAGGTGATCTACGCCATCAAGACCCGCAACGGCGACGTGTACATGCAGCTCAAGCGCAACTACGGTGACCTGAGCGCATTGGAGCAGGACGAGCTGACCGAGGCCGAGAAGATATTCAAGTCTGAGCGGGGCGGCGGCAACTATGGCGCAGGCACCAAGGAGATGCAGGTGGGTGTGGCACCGAAGGGGTGGGGCTGTGGCACGAGCAGCGCATCCCCGCCGGGCGAGATCCAGATCAGCGAGGCAGGAAAAGCACCAAAGTCCGCCTGCCGCCTGCGTACAGGAGCGCAACTACATTGCGCGCAAGGAGGCCGAGCGCCAGCGCCGTGAGATGTTTGATGATGCCCTTGCCAAGTTCAAGAAGGGCAAGGTTGAGGAGGTGGGTGTACTGTTGATGTGCTGAGGCACATGGAGGAGGTTCAATAGAGCTGGCTGGTTTGCTGGTTCGCCGGATGTGGCAGTCGGTTGCTTCTCCAAGCTGCCACGACCCCGAGTTGCAGTCTGCCTGGTGATTTCCAGCTGGGACCCTGCTGAAGCGTGTGCTATCGCACTGGCGCGACGGGCTGGCACTGATGCTGCAGTGGCCACACTGGTGCTCACTCATCGCGTTGCAGGCACTGATTGACTTTGAGAACGTGCTGTCCCTGGAGCCTAAGAATTACCTTGGCGACGATTTCTCGCGTGTCACCCAGATCTACCGCGTCACTCAATACAATATCGCATGCTGCTACAGTATGCTGGGCCAGGAGGAGTCTGGGCTGGAAGCTCTGAATGCCGCGATGGCCTCGGGTGAGCGCTGGGCGGGTGGCTCTGATCCTTCGGTTAGTGGCTGGGCCCACCCGATCGCTGCCCACATCATTGTCATTTTGCAGGCTTTGAGGATTACGACAAGGTGCGCAAGGACCCCAACCTTGGCAACCTGCGCAAGAGCCCCAAGTTCCAGCCGCTCCTGAACAGGTATGACGAGCCCATCCTGAACGAGGGCGCTATCAAGGCCTTCAAGAGCATCTTCTCGTTTGGCAAGTCGCAAAATGATGATCTGTGAAGCTTGAAAACGCCCGATTGCATTTCATGCCTCTATTTTGTTCAAGTTTGTATTAATTGCATTGGAGTTCAGCAACGGTGCAATGATTGTCCGGGTGGCATTATGCGGTGGTACAGCCAGCCCGTGACATGTGTGCATGATGGCAGTCGCTCAGACAAGGCAGTCGTCTCAGCAGAACATGCATTTTTATGCTTCCAATTTCCAAGCTGCACTCCAATGATGATCGATCCATGCCCCTCCAATTTATGGCAATATTACATGTGCACTTGTGACTGAGGAGCAGTATGAGACGGGCATGCATCAGTGCTACTGCTTGCCCATCTTCCGCTTCAGCGCTGCCAACTCCTCTGCCACATACTCGGCAGTGGTGGGTTTGCGTTCCGCCTGTGGCTCGCCCTTCGCTGCCCCTTCCCCACCTCTGCTGCCGCCAGGGACGGACACCCGAGGCGTCCTGCTGCTTGACGCGGTGGTAGCGCCGCTGGTGCTCGTGGCGTCAGTGCTGCGGCCGCTAAGATCTCCGTACGTCTTCTTCAAGGCGCCGTACGCAGACGCCTCATCATCCGACACGCCCAACCCCTGCTCTAGGAAGTCCACAAACTCCTCGCCAATGTCGTACAGCTCCTCCCACAGCGACTTGGGCGCCGCGGCTGATGTGGCCCCTCCACTTGCGCGTGCCTGCTGCCGCCGCTGTGCATAGCCTGAGAGCTCCCTGTCCAGGTCCCGCACCAGGTCGCCTGCAAAAGCATGGTGTGCAATGGGCCCAGGCGACGCATGGGGAACAAGGTTCGGCGATCATGTGCAGGACAAGCCTGCAAGCGTGCAACTGACCAAAGCTGTAGGACTCAGGCGACACTCTGGGCTGCTGCGGCTGGGACGACTGCCCATATGCAGTGCCGCCGCCTGCGCCAGCTTGTTGGCCCCTCCTGCCGCCATCTGCAGCGGAGCGGCGGCTGGTGCTGCTGCCGCGGCCCTGCCGCTCCTCCAACAGCTGCTGGTAGGCCTGCTTCGCCTCCATGAACCTCTCTCTGGCATCAGGCTGCACAGGCAGCGACGATGGCTGTGCATGTCAGGTGCTATTCATGGGCTTACCCACACTGCGGCAGTGCCTCGGGTAGGGAAGTGACGGCAACAACTCACTGCCTTATTGACATCGGGATGCAGCTTCAGTGCCCTCTTGCGGAACGCTTTCTTGATGGCATCCACGCTCGCGGTGCGTGGGACTCCTAGCAGCACATACGGGTCGGCGGCGGCGGCGGCGAAGACGGCGGCACGTCGTTGGCTGCACTGGCGGTGGTGGCTACCTTTCATCATTTCTCTCGGTTTGAAGAGAAGCCGCGAAGATAACATGTGGCTCTGCCCGCAAAGCAGGCCCTGTCCTCCGGCCAGCATCAAAGAGAGCTTAGTTCTTTTTCTGAATCTGCATCTCAATGATCTGATGATCCAGGAAACATGAAGGCTACTAGTCGGTTGTGGTGCTGGCGTGCGTGGAGAATTAGTGTCTCTCTGATTATGACACAACGACCTATGCAGAAGAAGAAGAATGACACACGAGGGTCAGGGAGATGCTCCCGTCCCATTCAGCTGCTGCTTTCCGCTGAGAGACAGCTGCCCATCCTGCGCTCAAATACTGCATGCACTATATGCACCATTGTTCAATTGACTGGCGCCTCCCCAAGAGCCATGGCGCTCTTGGCAGTGCCATGGTGCTCTTGGCTGCAAAGGAGGACGAGGGCTGTATGCCCAGCGTTGCAGTGCGCCACGGCGTCTGACCACGGGAGTCAGCAATCCCAGGACGACGGTGTAAATCGTGCGAGTTTGCATCTGCATCCCAGCGATCATCGTGCGGGTCTGGAAGTTTTGGCGCCCTGCCACTCACCTCTGATTTTCCAGTTTCTGTGTATACGTCCCAGCTCATCGCGCCAGTCTTACATATGGCATCTATCTAGAGAGTGATGTCCACCACCTCATCCTCGTCATCTGCCAGCTCTGCAGAGATGTGCTGCTGCTCCTCCCGCTCCCCATCGCCATCGTCGCTGCTGCTGGAGCCTCTCGAACTAGTGCCAGTCCCATGCGCGCGTGAGAAAACGTCATTGATGTGGTCAAGGTGGCGCCACATGTGCTCGATGGCCACCATCCCATCGATGCCCTGCAAAAGTAAAAGGATTCAGCTTCCTCAAACGACCCAGCAAGGGCCCATCTGCGAGCCTCGCAGCCAGCCCCCTTGCCTGCCCCTCAACACACAAATCGTCATAGGTGGGGCTGTCGGGCAGCATGCTGTCATCCTGCTCGCATGCCAGCTGCCGCTGGCGCCGCCTGCACACCAAGTCGAACAAGGAAAGAAGAGCCGAGCTGGAATCCAATGACATTGGCAGCAGTCAACTTGGCTGTCCAGCCGGAACGTAACTGCAGCTTGCGGCAGCGTGAAAGGAGCTTGCCTCTGCAGAAACTGCTCTGCCCAATTTAAGAAACTGGCCTGGCCCTCCAGCACATCGTGAACCAAATCCTGCACAGGGAGAAAGCAGCAGCCAAAAACGTCGAGACGTGTGCATCAACTTGGGGACTCAGCAGCAGTGATTGCCACACCTTGGGTGCCTCTGCCAGCACCGCCACCGCAAGGGCCAGCAGCAAATGCTGGCAGCCAACGCCGCGCTTCGGGTTCATCATTGCCTGCAGGGAAAGCACCGTGGCGGGCAGAAGGAGCGTGACAAGCAGCTCCAACAGCACCTGGCATGTCCTCACATGCCTCCCCAATCCTTCAGCAATGAAGAACACATCTAGCCCCAGCGAGACAATAGGTGGTCCATAGCACAACAATCTGCAGCGTGCCTTCAGAATGCCTCCCACGCCCTCTACTCCATGAAAGATGTTGCTGCAGCATAGGGCGACATGTACAGTTGCATCAGCAGCGCAGGATGTGTTGGTGCAGCCAGCCACTGCTCTGCACAAAACTTCCATGGCAGCATCAGCCATATAGAGGCACTCACATCATGCGCTCCTCATAAAGACTGTCCTTCAAGCAGACCAGCTCCAACATGACAACAAGATCCATGGCAAGGTCACGCCAGTCGCATGCATCCAGCAGCAGATGCTCTGCGACCAGGTAACGAGGAAGGGAGCGGTGACGGCGGTTTCCAGCGCATTGCTTTTGCCAGTTCTTCTCCGATTCATGAAGTGTCAATGAGCAAACCCACTGAGCAGGGTGACAAAACGTACCCAGCATGGCACGCTGCCACAGCTGTGCATACTTGTGGTTCTCATACTGGAGGAACGCCAGCAGACGCAACACAGAGGTGCCGTGCAGGACGCCTGCCAGCAACAGATGAAGCAGGATGTGAGTGAAAGCTGTGTGCACAGCTGGCAAACAACAGCTCACACAGCTCTATGCACCTGCCATGAGCAGCTTGCGCGGGAAAGTTGGATCCTCGTACAGCCACTCCACAACTGCTCCAGGCATGGGCGACAGCTCACATCCCTCCAGGCTGCACAAACATGGCAGCCCACACAAAAATGGTGTTATCGATAGTGCCCCTAGCTTGTACGTGGTGAAACTTGACAGTCGGTCAGCAGGTCGAACCAGTGGGGATTCCGGTGGGTATGAAGGCATTGGTCATCCTGCTGTGGCGGCCTTGATGGCTTTCGCCGGCTTCGCTCCTGGGGGATGGGCTCCGGACGGAACCTGTGCGGCGAGGGGGGGGGCATGCAGAGAACAAGTCAGCTTCCAAAACATGACAACAACGTACTTCTTGTGTCACGTCTACACATGGTCACCTTCGCAGAAGCGAACCCAGCAAAAACAGTGCAGCGTAGCCTGTGTTGTGCTCACGGTCGTATGGATCAAGCAGGCACCATTGTTCTGTGGCCTGCGCATTTGATCATGGAGCTTTCGCTTGATAAACCCTAATGAGAACAACGTAATGCACACTTGGAGGCACTCACCCGCCTAACCAGGGCCAAAAGCGGCGTCAAGTGTGCATCCAGCAGAGCACGCCGCCAACTGTATCGCGGAATGGACAACCGCTGCAGCAGTTCCAGCAGCTGCAGGGAAACAAGCCAAACAGGGCAACTAGCTCCTGTGGATACCACTGGCAGCTGCGGAGCAGGGTGCCATCTCTACTCAGCCTACTCAGCCCTCAAATGCGTCAGTGTATGTAGCAGCGAGCTTGCCTCGTCATGATGCCACGGCGCCTGGAGCTGTAGTAACATCGGCAGGGTGCTGCCACACAAGTGGTTTATGCAAGCGCGGATTGCATGCACAGCCTCGTCAGTCTGCAGCACAGCATGAAAGGCTGTTTGAAGCCGCCACTCTCGCCCACTAGTAGCTGGCATACTTAAAGCCCACCCCCCACAACACAACTTACTCTGAGCTCCTGGCATGTTAGGCAGTCGGCAGCAGTGGCGATGATATCCCTCACAAAGGTGCGCACACCAGGTCCAGGATGCTGAGTCAGCAGGGCGTCAGCAGAGGCCGAGCATGGGCCGGACGCTGCAAGTCATAGGAAAAACAGCAGGCGCAGATGAAGCAAGGCAAATGGAAGGCAAGCAACAGGGCAGCAGTAACGACCTTGGTCGTGGCATGCAGGGCTGATACAGCAGCAGCAGACTTGGCAACAAACCTAAGTGTAATAACACCGCCCCGGCCACTGCCGGAATGGTTTTTGCCACCTCGCGCAGGACACCAATCATGCCTGGCGCTGCCTTGCGCCCACCGGTACCAAGAATCTCACGCCGGAGCTCATTGCCACCTCGCAGGGCAACCTGCAAAATTGGCAGCCGGAGTGTGTCGGGATTTTCGGCGGCGGGTAGCATTAATAGACCGAGGGCAGACAGCTAGGTCAGCGTAAAGCTGCATGCGCGTGTGCACCAGCCCAGTGCAAGCACCGACAAGAGGTGAGCAGCATAACATCTGCAACCTGAAGGCAGTAGTCCAGGGCAAGTAGCGCAGCATCGGCAATGATGACATGCAGGTCGCCTCTGCAGCCAAAATGGATAAAAAGTCGAGTTCTGCCAACATAAACGGATCATATACGAGCAAAGTGCACTTGACCCCCAGCCAGCCAAGCCATCAAGAGCCTGAAAACAGCTCTTGCGCACCCACGCCTGTTGGTCAATGCCTGAAGCTGGCACGCTCCAGTTGCGGCGCTGCCGCTGCCGCTTGCAACACTGCCAATGCCACCTGGGCTGCTTGTAGGCTCCCGCTTGGCTGCCTTGCGTGCTGTACCGGTGACCACAGCATCATTCAGGTGGTGGATCACCTGCCACACAAAGCGGCAGTACTCCATCTGCACACAGTATGGTGATGCAGAGCAATAGGCAGTGCTCGAAGATGGAGCGCTTCAACAAACTGCCAACCTTCACACCAGTTTGCAGCCAATCACATAGCATCATGTGAGTTGAGATCTTGCTTACCGACAGGAGCTGCATTGCTCCAAGCTGGCGCAGGTTGCCAAACAACACCGCTTCATACAGGCTCGGAGGCATGTTAAATGGTGTTCGCGTTTCTGCCGCTGGGTGTGCCACTGCTACTGCTACGCCGCCCTGTTGTGCAGGCATCTCCACATCAGGCATTTGCTGCGATGACTGCTGCTTTATGGGAGGGGCAGGTGAGACAGCCATGGGTTGCGCTCCATCTGCCCGTTCATAGAACAGCATGTAGGCGGAGTTGGGACGATCACACTCCTGGGTAAAGCCCTCTGGAATGAAACGTCCTCCAAAGCAATCCATGTCCAGCTTGGCAGGATCCCAGGGCTCCACGTTGGTGTCGTCGAAGCAATACCATTCGCCTCCGGGCTGACGATCCTGCATCACATTGGCACCTTGCTTAGCAACAAGCGGGCACAAGTTGATGTTCATCAGCCATATTTTGTGGCCGAGAAGCCTTTACCTTGATGACACTGTAATAATGCCCTGCAAAAGCGCTCCCGCTATGCACCACAATGCCACGAAGGTCATAGCGGTAATGGCTGGCATCCTTCTTCTCGGCTGGCTGCTGAAGTAGTGCCAATGAAACACACTGTGGGTAACTGGAAGATCAACAAAGAGAGCAAATGCGGCGAGGTAGCCATGCAGCCTGCACACTCACGCGCCCATCTGCCTCGCTTGCCCCCTCCACAGTGTATGGGTAGACATCCAGCTCCATTGGGAATTCAAATCGGGTCTTGACCTGCAGAGAAATTGGCAGGATCTCAAAACAGGCAAGTCCATACCAGCTAATGGGGATTTGTTCTCCGTTCACCACCTTCCAGCGCTGATAAGTCTCATAGTCCCATTCAAAACGTTTCAAGTGTAGGACCAGGGTGTGCGGGAGCTCCTTGATAAGTGTGCGCTTTTCCGCATCAACCTGCGAGGTGGAAGCAGCACCATGTCAGGCAAGCAAGTAGAGGATCACAATACCCTTGACACCAAACATCATATGGCACCCACTTTCTTGCCAAGCTCCTCGCACAGATACTGGTTTTGCCCGTCCATCAGCTCCTTGGACACATAGGAGTCCAGACTCTCCGCCAGCGTGCGCTTGCCACGCACGTCTAGGCTGATCTGATAAAACTCTTCCTCCTGCACTTGTACCTTAAGCTATGCAGGATTGCGGCAAGCTTGCAAACACGAGGCTGCACACCAGCGATGGATCGCAACCGTGCACTGGTCTCACCCGCTCGCTGCAGTACTGCGGCAACCCTAACACTGTGATCAGCTGCGCAAAGGTGCCGCCCAGCGCGGTGTGAATCGCACGTGGCCGCTGCTGCGCACGCAGGTACTCATCAACGCTGTCTTGCAGGCGTGTGAAGAACTCATAAGCATCCTGGTGTTCCCTGCACCAATGCAGAGGAACGGGAACTCGAAATTGGTTGGGGCATGCTGTCTTTGCTGAGTGTGTGTTTGACCATGAGTGACGTGCAGGGCCGGACATGGCTTAGTGCACAGCCGGCAGCTAAAACTGCCCTTACCTGATGTTAACTGGCTGGCCATCGTAATCCTTAAAGGCACGCCAGAAGCCCCGGGGCTCAAACCAGGGTTCCACGCCTAGTGCCAAGTGCGCAAACATTACCTGTCACAAACAGACTGAAGTGCATCAGAACACAATGTTGTGAGCAGGACCATCACAGCGCAGCACCATTCCGAGATAAGCGCAGTTGCACCAATGACCTGCATTTGGTGAAAGACGCTGTCCTGTTGTTCCTCTTTTGCCACAGCAGGGGCGCTCAGTATCAAGGTCCTGCAGCAACAGGACAGGGCCACCAATGCACAAGAGATGAAAGGTACTGAGACAAAACAGGGTGTTGGCTGGCCTGCTTCCCTGGCCACCCATGTATGCTCACCTTATTGTTGTCTGCATAAACAACTGTTGAAACACGCTGCTCATGTAGCAAGTGGCGCCCCCATTTTGCAAGCCCGCAAATGCCCTGTATGCAAGCCAGCAACAAGGGGGTCAGCAGAGTGAAAGCAGTGGCTCAGCAGCGCACGCGAGCGTAGGCAGCTCTGTCCAGGAGGGTAACATAATACTCGCCCAGGTGTCCGCAGTGATTGCAGTGGCATGTTATTGAAGCGCTGCGGCAGGAAGCTGCTGGCGGCAGCATGCACTATGTTTCGCAGCTGCTCCTGTGCATACTGCCAGCAGCCGCTGTCATGCAGCATGAGATCTAGAAGCAGGTCAAAGGCTGCCTCCCTGCTGCTGGTACCGCTGCCATTGCCATATTGCGCCTGGGCAGCAGCGATGCAGCGTTCTGCGGTTGCCTCTGCGGTTGCTGCTGCTGCCAGCACTGACTGCTGCAGAGGCGGCGGTGGTAGGGCAGACACAGATGCGGCCTCTGCTCCAGCTGCATTCAGCCTGCCGAGTGTAGCAGCCTCCAGTTGCCGCTGTGCAGAAACCGCTGGGAAACAGCAACTATGGATCAGTAGCCTAGCAAAATTGCAGCTCTGCAAGGCGGAGAAATGCAGATGAAGCAGCAGATTGAGGACACTACAGGGAGCATACGAGGAATGCACAGACTGGCACTCACCAGCCCCACCTCCCGACAATCTAGACGCTTGATGAGCGTGCCAACCACACTAGCAATGCCATCAATTGGTTGCATGCAGCCGACAGCCGTCGATAGACGCTGCAGCAACGTTTTCAATAGCTGACGAGCTGCGAGGAACTGCGGCAAAACAACAACACAGCAATTTAAACCTGGGCCCTGCCAAAAAGGCACAGGTTATGTTAAATTGCTGTTGCGGAGCTCAAGAACAAGATCACCTCAGTGGTATCCAAGGTCTCAATGAAATGGCTGCACATTGCCATGTGCTCCTGGCTACTGCCACCGACCTCGTCCACAAGCAGCGGCTGGACAATGTAGTCAAAAGCCCAGTGCTGTGCTGCTGGAGCCGACGCAGCAAATGCGGGCAGCCAGCTTGCTGCCAGCCGACGCAGGTCACTGCTGGTGGGATGCAGCACGAGGCAGCGTACAATGCCCTCCAGCGCTGTCGACTCTTCCACTGTAATGATGTGCACGGTGGCATCGCTCTGTTTGGCTAACCTCCGTAGTAGCAGGAGCGCCTGGGAGCACAGCTCGTGCACAAACCCAGCATCCTCATCCGCCATCACAGCTGTTTGGGATGGTTGCACCTCAGCAGCGTCGCAGTGCAACACGCAGCTCAGCATGCGCACTGCATAGCGTGCAGCAGCTGCTGCCAGCATGGCAAGCTCTGCTGCAGCCATCTTGGCCTCCTCCCTGTCTGCTACTGCTCCTGGAGGAACAGCATGAGCATCAATATCGGGCTGCACTGGCTCCCCACTGACGCAATCAGCAGCAAGATCATCCCCCAAATTGGCTGCTGCCATGCTGGCAGATGGGCTGGGGTTGGGCTCCACGACCACTCGTGCCAGTTTTGCGGGTGCCATGTCTCCTCCGATGCCGCCAACTTCGGCGTTGGGGATGCCAGCGCTATCAACTTGCATGTGGAGGGACTCGACTAAGGTTGCTGTTGCTGTTGGAGCTCCAGCTGCATCGACTGCTGTCATGTGGTCCAATTGCGCCGCTGCAGGCTGTTGTTGCTGCGCAGCGTCTGCCATCACTGCTGCATCTGCTGCCATCCGCTGCTCATGTAGGGCTGCATGGATATGATGCAACAGCAGCACCATGGTGCCATGCGTTGCTGCCGCCACAGCAGAGTGTGCTGCACGGGGCGCCTCTGCTGCAAACAGTCCTACAGTTGTATGGTCGGTTGCAAGCTCGAGGAGAGCTTCCAGAGTACCCGACAGCAGAAGCCGTCTCTGCAGCATTTCAGGCGGCATGGCTGCCGCGCAAGCTGCCCCGGGCCCCATCGGGAATAGCAGCACGCACAAACACTGCACAGTGTACATCAGCAGTGCTGGCTTCACTGCCCCTATCTTTGACCCTTGCTGCATGAGAAGACGTCGCAGCTGTATCCCGCCATCAGGGGCCAGCAACAATTGGTGCAGCTGCTGCAGGGCGGCTGGGCAGGTTGGCAGCACACTCAGCAACTCCACGGCCGACACGGCAAGCCTGCTACAGCTGGTGGCTGCCTCGCTGATGATGCCTCGTGAAGCAGAGCCTTCCACAACTGAAGGGGCGTCGGCGAGGGACAGAGCAATCCAATAAACATCTGCCTGCAGCACACCAAGAAGGAAGCGGAGCCCAGAGAAGGGATCTGTGCCTCCCCATGTGCGTAGCGAGCGCTTCCATGAGGCGCAACATGCTCGACTTGCCTGCTGCATCAATGCCTGGATGACTGCCATTGCGCTTTGCTCCTCCACAATGTTTTGCCCGCTGTACTTGTTGGGTTTCAGGTTGACCTGCGCCATAATGAGCTGCTGCTCCGCACGGCATTCTGCTAGAGTATGGCGGTCGCTCTCGAACTCGCGGCCCTGCAACCAGGCACCAAAGCAAGCAGCAGGAGAGGGTTGAAGTCTCGCCATGGTGGGGGCCGCTGGGGGCTGGGGCCTGGCTGGGGCTGGATGGATGGAGCTGGCTGGGCGCTGGTTGGCCCCCAGGACTGCTTAGCCTACGCCTTGGCCAGCTGCTGCCACTGCTAGCGCTGCTGTCTCTGCTCTGTTGCACAGACAAGGCCAGACGAATGTCAGCAGCCAGCTGGCAGGCATTTCCCACCCAGCCCCGTGGCAGTGCCATGCCCAGCAGTGCGCATGCCGGCAGTGGCAGTCTGGCGAGCCCTTTGTGATCGGTTTCTCAAAACTGGCGCGGCGGCAGGAGCATCCACCACCACCCCAGCGCTCAGCTCTGAACCACCAACGTCGGCACGCGCTGCACTCCAAACCTCAAGCATGGCAGCCGTGGGTAACGTGCAACAATCCTCAAGACACAAGCAGCCAGCGCTCACCCCACCCAGCAGGCGCACAAACTGTGGCGCCTTCGCTAGCCACTCTGCCACGGTGCGCCGCAGATGCCCCATAGGCAGATTGGCCGGCAGGGTGAGCTCTTGCTTGTGTTGCTTGTGTCCCTGTATGGACACGGCAGGGTAGCACAGAAGCATCAAGCCTCAGGATTGATCACACGCCAACTTTGTGTCAAGGAAGTTGCGCCACATGCCTGCTGTGCGGGCAGCTGAACCGCGAGTGCCAGCGGGAAGCCTCGCCAGGCAGAGCTGTGGGCGGGGGGAGACAGCATGCGCTTGCCCTGCAGATTGGGTAGGTGCATGCTCGCGCATCACGTCTTAACTTGATAATTATGCTCTTGGCAGATGGGGCAGTCGCTGAACATGGAGCGCAGGCCGAGATGCACCTGGCATTCATCAACTAACAGCGCCAGGTACCGCAGGATACGCTGGCAGTGCTCCGCTGCTGCTTGGTACTCGTCTGGCGGCATTGCTGTCAGTGCTGCAGCCGGCTGGCACCACTGTGCAGGCTGCCCATCAGAAGCCAAATCTGTTGGGCGCTCGTCGCATCCAGGTCTCATGGCACTGCGGTCATGTGCATCACTGGCTGCCGTTTGGCCAAACGCCTTTTGCCGCAGCTGTTGCAGACACGAGGACACTTCTGCATCCAGCAGTTGCCGCCATCTCTCTGGCTCATTTGCCAGCAGATGACGCATTTGGGTGCTGACAATGCAAGCAAGCAGGTGCGCCGTGGCATGGGTAATGGAAGGCCGATGGGAATCAAGCATCATGCGCCATAGGAATGTGCGCACTGTCCCTTCAGTTTGCTGCACAGGTAGTGGTGGCGATGTTTAAGTTTGCAGAAAGGGAGCGAGAGAGAGCAGTAGATGGCCCTCCACTTTACCTCTGTAACGCACGCCAGCCGCGGCGTGACATCCTCCTCAAGCAGCTCCGCCTCCCATTTGCTTCATCAGCGAAAGCAGCACAGGACAAAATATATAAAACTGTTGCAGTCAGTTTCACACTGCTTTATGCAAAAACAGCAATGCATAGCTGACTGTCATCACGGTCAGGAAGCGACAACTCAGGAGGTGCGGCGGGGGGGCTCACTCAGACACAGCAGTCATGTAGGCAAGGAAGCACCGCCATGCAGCCTCTGTGAAGTGAACAGCTGGCAGCCTGCACAAGCAGTCCAACAAGAACCCGACTGCAGACAGAAAAAAGGAGGAGGAAGCGAATGCAAAGTGAGATGAAGAGAAGGAAGGCACACTGAACAGTGTGGGAAGAGACACATACCTGCCACTTTCTTGACCACTTCCTTCCTGCAGTTGGCAACCATGAGCAGGGCCAGCCGCCAGGCCTGATCTGCACCATTCGCAATAGCAAATTGTTAACTTGTCGGCCATGATTGCCTGGCAATCCATCAGGTGGGCTAAGGCGGACCTGCATCATATGCAGTGACAGCTTCTGCTGTGGCCCAGCTTGTCATCCGTTCAAGCTGCTCCTGCAAGATGCAGCGACAAAGGTGAATGCCCAGCAGGCCATATTGACAATGCCCACAGCAGGTCAATCTGCATATGAAAGCAAGTCACTAGTGTGGTTGTCCACCAAACGCGAAGCGAGATAGCCTGCATTATGTCATCATGCCTGCAACAAGTAGTAGTTCCCACTATAGATGACCTCCCAGAGTAGGCAATGCCACGCATCCACTGACTGCCGGTGGGAGAATGTGCCAGCTGGGGGCCCTTCTGTTAATGTGCCTCGATCTGCCCCACCCTGTGCTGCCTTCTGTCGGAGCAACCAGACAGAGAAACAGCGCAGGCATTGTTTCAGCAGCTCAGCATCACGGTTCAAGTGTTGCATGGCGACACGCATTCGATCCTGCATGTTTGAAAGGCAGTCAACGAGGGACAGCTTCATGAAGAATACAAGGCACGACAGGTTTAGGTGCAACAGCACTGTGGACGGAGCTCACCGGTTTGCGCCAAACCCGCGTCAGAAGGCTGTGAAGCACCACTGTTGCAGGCACAGCGCAATCGCCGTCCAGCTGTTGAATGCAGATCTGCGCTGCAGCCAGGCTGCATGTGTTGTGCCCAAGGACAATGTCATAGATGGCACACAGCTCCACAACTGCAACAAGGGAGAGGGTTGCAATAGCACCAAAGCAAAAGCAAGAAGATAGAAACTGTTGACTTGGTGCTGCCTCTGTTGACTTGGTGCTGCCTGTTGACTGTCCGCAGATAGCAAAGACACGGTGGGATAATCATCAGCACGGCGCAGCAAGTTGACTGCTTGCCTGTGGTGCTCCGCACAACCTCAGGTGCAGCATCTGGACGTAGACAGATGTGCATCAGGCAGTCCAATATATTTTTCCACATCAGCCCCTGCAACGCAAGACGTGTTGACAATTGGCGCGGAATTTGCAAGAGAAGACTTGGCCCACACAATTGGAGACGCCATATGCTGCCCGTGCAAGAGTGCATTCAGTATCTCTATGAATGCGATGTATAGAGCAATGCTAAGAGAAACTTCTTGCTAGGGGAAACTTCTTCAGCAACCTCATCCTTGCAGGAGCAAGGCGCACCCACGAACCCCGCATCCCACCCCACCCGGGCGCTGCCACCCCCACCCACCCACCCACCCACCCACCCCCACCTTTGCGTCCCGTTGTGCCATTCCCACCAGCAGGACACAGATGGAAACAGCCTCGCTCACACCGCTGGCAGTTGCACGTGCCTGCAGGTGCAATTAATGTAGCATGTAAATCAGGCCGTCTCTGTCCCCTAATGTACAGGTGACAACACCGTCTCCTTCAGTAGCCACAGATACCCTGGCAGACGTCACCTGCAGCCTTGCAAACAGCTGAGCCAGCTGTGCCGGTTGCATGAGGTGCCCTAAATTTGCCAGCACTGCAGGCACAGGAGCAAAGGGAGACCAATTGGCAGTGCGCCAGCAGGAAGCGACGACCATCTAGAGGGCTGATCTTACTGCTGTAGACATTGCTCTTTACCGCCTCAAATGTCGAGCCATCTGCAACGAGGCGCAAAAGCAGCAAGGAATGAGCAAAAAGATGAGTACAAATGTTCCCAGGTCCAAACATCGTGTGCTTGGCTTGAAGGCACAGGAACGCAGGCACAACAATCAGACTTTCCTTCTGTCAACTGCCAGAGGAAGGCTATCGCTTCTTCCGACAGGGCATCGTGCTGCAAAAGCATGCTTAGCACGCGTTGTGCCTGCATTGGATAAAGACTCTCGTCGGCATCAGAAGCGTGCAATCCCACCCTAAATGCCTTTAACACAACATGCTTGAAGCAGCAACGGCTGCTAGCAGGCAGTGCGGCGGCTCCCAGGTGTGGCGCTGACAAACATGCGGCAACCCCTGGCAGCACCTGATCCGCATACTGCGCTTGGTGCAGGTTGGACTTGAGCACCAGCTGGACTATACCGTGCTGCTGCAGCCATGCCATAAATGCCTGTAGAGGAAAGAACGGCGTGCCAAAGCGGTGACATGCAAAGTGCTTCCACTCAGGCAGGCCACACAAAGATCACCCTGCATGATTGCTGCTTTGGAACACGAGCGGCAGAGGACAACAAAGCCAACAAGGAAAGAGTACCTCGCTGCCCAGGCGTGATTGGTAGAAGGTGAAAGCCGCAAGGTCCCGCAGCTGCTTGATGCCTGCCAGCTGGCGGGTAAAGGCTGGGGCATGCAGCAGGCGCAGCACATGCTCCCGTTGCAGCGGGCCCACCTGCACGCACCACAGGCTTGTTAGCCGGCAGCAAATATACATGGTAGAACGAGAGGTGCAGGTGAGACACGCACCTCTGCCTCGGCCTCCTCTGAGCTGGCGGCGGCAGCCAGCAACTGGCGCACCAGCATGAGCACCTGTGGGCAATGCTATACAAAAGTGAGTTGGCTGTGGTATGATTCAACATTGCATCTAATGTGTAGCTTCTGGCCAAACCATGGCCAGCCGCACCTTGGCCACCCTCTGCTCTGGGTTGGCAGCTGTGTCTTCGACTGCCGACAGATCCGATGCTGCGGTCAGGCCTGTGCGCACAAGCTGTAGAACGCAAGCTGCTGGCTGTAGCAAAATGGCATGTCTAGATGGCAGAAGGAGGCGCGATGCAGAGCCAAGGGGCGCCAAGAAGACAAACAGGTAGCCTGCCAATCGTTCCGGGTGGCACACCAGCTGCAGGGCAAAGGGGTGGTAGGGTAATGTAAATTACCAGTGTGGAAAAGTCAGCATCATCATGGATCCCAGCTTGACGGTATGCAACAAGCATGAATGCGAAATTGGCCAGGCACCTTCAGCAGCGCATCCCAGCCTCCACAGTCGCCAAAACAGTCTATCATTGCTGCACACCACGCAGCCACAGCCAGGTGCGCGGAAGGTGTCTCTGGCGGCTCGGCTGTAAGGTCCTCTACAGCCGTGCCATCAGCAGCAGCCATCGGCGATGGTGCCCCCGGCTGCTGCTGCTCAGGTATCGGTGCTGCCCATGAGCCCAAGCCTTTGGGGACCCAGCCGCGAGCTGTGGCTGGTGACTCGGCATGGAAAGCATGGCTACGGAAGAGGTAGTTACTTTCAAACAGCCTACTTAAAATGCGCAACAGCGGAGCCACATCCTCCCCGACTGCGGCAATCAGGGTGGCATGGACATTTACGGTGCAGCGGAAACTGATGCAGGCTACACCCGTCGAAACGGATGGAGGGCATACCTATGTGTTGGACGAAGCAAAAGGCGCACGTACTTACCTCGCTGGCTGATGGTGGGCTGCAGCTCCCTGCCCTGAAGCACACTGACGTGCAGCGTAAGAAAGCTGGCAACAAAGTGAATGAACCTGCGTGGGGAGGCACGGGAGTGGGGTCTCCTGTGGTGGTGCTCCTCTAAGTTTGCCAGCTGGAAGTGAGATACCATCCATCCAATGCAGGTATGGTTCAACCCCCATTCTCACTGTTGGCAGGCTGCTCGGTAGTCTTCAGCGTTGTGCAGGCCCACCAGCTGCAAGGGAGTGTAGGGTCGCGGGCAGATAGAGCACCAAAGACTGCGAAATGCAAGTGGGCGCGATGAGCTTCCAACAGTACGCACCTGCATTTGGCGCTCCTCGTCCAGCATCTGGTGCATGGCCGGGCCCAGCGCCTCACGCATCAGTGGCTGGAAGAAGCTGGTGTACATGAGGAACACTGTGTCGTCGGTCTCATCCACGCGGTTCCTGTGGAGCACAAGCAGAGAAGATGAACCGAAGGCGGCATGCTCGCAGAGTGGCAGAGGCAAGCATGCGTAGGCTGTGCAGCGGTTCTAGTCCACCATGTCCATGTCCATATATACTATAGGCTGGTATAGACGTATGCCGACGCACTCGATCATATGAGAGTAGCAGGCAACAGCCGAGCGCAAGCATCTGTCCAGTGCATATATATCATCTTTATTGTGTAATATAGCCTGTAGGCTTGGTGTAAAATCTGCATGCCGGGGCAGGACGAAGCACCTTGACAGCCGCTAAGAAATCCGGTGGGGAGTGCGGGCGGCGGGAGTGCGGGCGGGGGTGTCGGGCGCACCCGCCAAGAAGGCGTCCTGCGCGCCCAGGCTGATCCTGCGCTCAGGCAGCGCCATCTCCTCGTCCTCGTCGTTGCTTAGCAGGTCCTCCACCATGTTGTGCGGTCAGGTGATGTCAACACTTTGCTTGTTTATGGCATGGCGATGTTTCTGAGCAACTACTATGAGAAGGAGGCACTGGCGCCATCGGAACCTTGTACTCACCGGTAAGGGTACTGCTGAGGTGAATTGCCTCCGCTCACGCGCTCCCCGTTGTTATAAGTGCAGCTCGTCCTCATGAGGCGCTCACGGCCCTCGCGGCTCGTCTTGGCCGTGCTAGCGTCGCTGCTGGTTGGCGGCTCGGGGCAGGAGGCTAACCACGCGGCGCTGGCAGGCTGGAACAGCGGTGCTAGCCTGATTAATGGAGCACTGACAAGGGCGCCCAAGGACAGACTGGGCGCTCTGCGCGATGAGAACCAATGGAAGAACGAGCTGGTCCTCTGGGTGCTGCCTGGCGAGGTCAGGGAATGTATGCCCAGAGTCGTCCAGGTGGGGAGGGCGTGCAGTTCAGTGTTGAGGCGCCGCCACACATTGTGCGGCCGTCCACAGGACTTGCCGGTCTTCCTGACTGTACACGCCGCCAGCCTCTTGCAGACGTGGTTCCGCTGTTGGGTGATGTGTATGGCACTATATTTTGGCGTGGGCGCCGCCTGGACATACTATGCCTACTTTGCCTTTGGTGCGTCAGGCGCACAGGGAAGAACACCGTCATGAAGGTGCCTGGTGGTGTCCATCTTGTTTCTGTCCAACTTTGCATCCCCCTCCACCTGATTCGCAGGCGACAAGCTATTCAAGCTCGGCGAGATCCCAACCCGCCTGGACATCTGGGAGCAGATAAAGGTGTGTCGGCAGGCCCTCTTGCTTCTTTGCTCTCTTATCGTTCTGAGGGTGGCGCTCAGCTCCGCATGTCGCGTTCTGGCCTGCAGGTGTCCTTCCGGGGCATGCCGCTGTATGCGATGCTGCCCACCATCACAGAGTACTGCGTGGAGCAGGGCTGGACACTGGCCTATGCCAGGTACGGCAAATGGCGGGGGTGGCTTGGTGGCTGGGCATATGCATAGAGCTGAATCGGTTGGCAACCTGCCTATAGTGCCCAGTGGCTGCCGCTCTGCGTCTGCACTCTGGCGCTGTGTGCAGGGTGGCCGATGTCGGCCTGGCCCGTTACCTGCTGTATTTTGTGCTCTACATGATGTCTGTTGAGTTCTTTGTCTACTGGCAGCACCGCATCCTGCACATGGGCGTCGGCTACAGGTGTGAGAAGCCGCAGGCGTCGTTTTTGCGTTGCGTGGTTGCCATGCATCTTGAAAAGGGCAAGTAAAGCCTAAAAGTGCCGCAGCAGCGGCTGCAATGCGATCAATTGCTGATGCATCCCACATGGAGTCCTGCCCCCATTCGCCCCTCTCAGCTGGCTTCACGTCATCCACCACAAGTACAACAAGGGGGATCAGATGAGCCCCTTTGCAGGGCTGGCCTTCCACCCGCTGGATGGCATCATGCAGGTTTGCAAGGGGGTGGGTGGGTGGTGGCAGGGGTGATGGTGAACCGGCCTGCATGCCACCCGCATGGCTGCACTGCATCAGACCGGTTATGCCCCAGACTTCAAACAAACAAACCGCGGCCACCATGCTGCAGGCGCTGCCTTATGCCTGGACACTCTTCTATGTGCCCATGCATTTCCTGACTCATGAGATGCTGCTCTTCTTTACATCCATCTGGACCACAAACATCCACGACAACCTGCATGCCAAGGTGCGACGAATGTGGCACACCCGACCAATTCGAGTGCCATTAGGGACATTTGTGCGTTACACATCAGCTTCATACCCTGCCCACCCACCACTTGCAGATTGCGCCAGTCATGGGGGCCGGGTACCACACCATCCACCACGTGCTATATAACTACAACTATGGCCACTACTTCACCTTTGTGGATCGTTTGTTTGGCACTCTCATTACGCCAGAGGAGCTGGAGGCGAGGCGGAGTGCTGAAAGAGCGGCAGCTGATGCCAAGGCGCAGTGATGGCGCAGAGATGCAGGCTTGCCAGCCAGCCAACTGGTGTTTCTTTTGTTGCTGTTCTAGCAGTAGTGAGGATCCCAAGCTGGCTGAGCTGGTACCTGTAGTCGTCATGATGGAACGCATGGCGAGCAATGCAAACCGTGATTTGTCTCGATTCTTTACACGCCGCACACATTCATTGCATATTCTCAGCCCAGGTCATTTGCACGCAGGGGGCTAGCTGCTGCTGCTGCTGTAGTACCCAATGTCACCGAGCGGTCATTAGTCAAGAACCAAAAGCTTCACTCACAAGCCAGCTTGCTCGCGAACGAGGAGAGGCAGATACCAAAGGCCTGAAGGCAGGGAAGATGTTTTGAATCATGTAGGATCAGGGTTGGCGGGCTGTTCTGGTGTGGACCAAGGCCCCTGGGGGACGCTACCCTTGATGAGGAGTGTGGCCAGTCGCACCTGAAGGGCCGTCATTGGGTAGCTGTAATCCATGGTGAAAACATCATCAGCCACCTTGCCAAACTGCAAGATGGTGCGCTCCTGCAGGTGGGGATGGCGGGGGATGGTTAGCCACCACTTGCAGCACAAAGATATCAGCAATCGCAAGCAGCACCGCCCACCATGTTGTCCACTGACACCAGCTGAAAGTTCTTCACCGAAGCCTGCGTCACGCGCCCGCCAAAGTTGAGGCAGTAGGCGCCCATGGACTGATTCCAGCGGGGGGGCTTGTTGCGCAGGACCACACAGCCAGATAAGTTGTACAGCTTGTACCTGCGAGCAGCGTGGCCGCATGGGGAAAAGCAGAAGTACACCTTGCACCTGATTTGCTGTGGGCACACGGCACGAACCACAGTTGAAGCACGCCAAGCAACATGCCCGACTGCTGGACGGTGCAGAGACTAGGGCAGGACCAGCTGCCGATCAGCGAGCTTTCCACATCACTCACTGGCCCAGCAGCGTGTCATGCTCGCCCTTGGGGCGCAGCGGCAGAGCCCGTTGCCCATCCATGTCCAGCTTGGGAATCAGCACCGTCATTTTGCGGGGGCCCTTGGTTCCCAGCACATTTGTCTGGTACAGCGCAGTGCCCAACTCGCACCGTGCAATGCTACCTGTGGATGCAGGGGCTAAGCTTAACTCGTGGAACATCCACTGGAATACTTAGAGCACCGGCAAGCAGTAACAAACGGCGAACCAGTGGTGCTCTTGCTGCCGCCATCGTAGAGCGCAAACTCAGTGCCCAGGAAGTTGGAGCGCAGCTTGCCCACGTAGCTGGCGTCTCGGCGCGAGATGTCGTGCTGGTCCACCTGCACGGCATGCAAGCGAAGCCTCACCCCAATTTGGGCGTAAACCCAACAAAACTTGGCCCCGCATACAACTGACAGCCCAAGATGCATGAGCATCTTGGGCTGTCAGCATTTACGCCTGGCATGATGCATCAGCGTTTCGCCTGGCAGCATGTGCGCAGGATGGCACAGGAGGCACAGGAATGCATCGAGCTAATCCCAAGCTCTGCTGCAGCGCTCGCACAGAAAGCACAAATGATGCGCCGCCTGGGCCGCCCTTGCGCTTGCGTGCTGCCGCCAGGAACGCGCCAGTCTTGCCGCCCTCCTGCTCCATCATCAGCGTGTACTGCGGATTGCCCTTGAGCAGGCCACCAGAGCAGCGCACTATCTTGCAGCATAAAGGCTTATCAGCCGGGCCAGGCATGAACAGGAAGCGCCTGCAAGCCCAACAGGGTGACGAGCATGATGGAGCGCTCCCCAGCAACCCATGGACCGTAGCACCTAGCCACCTACCTGAGATCTGCTTTCCTGCTCAAACTTGCTGTGGCCAACAAAGTTGCCAATGTGGGTGCAAACAGCTCAGCTTTTCCATCCTGCCGCTGGGCATCTTCACATGCCATCCTTGCTGATGCTCCCACCTTGGCCATTCCCCCAGCCTTTGGCGCCATAGCCACGAATGCAGCAGCAGAAATGCCAAAGCTGGCCAGGCTGCCAGTTTGTGGCTGAGCCAGGCTACCGGAAAACTGCTGACCTGCCCGTGCAGGAGCCGTTGAGGGTGGCTGCGGGTATGCTCCTGTAGGCCGCTCCACTATGCCACCGCTTGGGCTTGTCACCGACGCCACCCCCGCAGGCTCCGAGTCAGCTCGGCTGTAAGCAGCGTTGATAGTGAAGTCACTGGCAGCCAGAGGTGCCAGGCACGCAAGGGCGGTGGCTGGGCGTGTGGTCTGGGCGAGGGGCTGAAAGCAGGGTGTGCAAGGCCGGTTGCCTGCACAACTGCCAAACTCACCCCCAGCAGTACCAGGCTGGGCCGACTGCAATCTGCCATCTGCACTGCTGTCCCTGTCGCTGCTGCTGCCAGCGCGCACTGCGCTTGCAAAGCTGCCCAGCACCCTCGGAGACTGGGGTGCACAGCTGTTGCCTGCAGCATTGGCGCTCGTGGGGCGGGGCAGGGCATGTAGGTCCTTTGGCTGCTGCCCCTGGGTCTGCTTTGTGAGCTGTGGAATGCTGATGCCGCTGGGGCGCAGCGATGACGTGGCCGGTCGGTCGGGCGATGTGCCAGACCGGCAAGTCCATGCAACCGTTTGCTGCAGGCGCATGCTGCTGCAATCGCTGTGGCATGCTGTCTTAGATGGCCCCAAGGCGGGTACACTGTCTTGCCCACGCTGCTGCTGCGGAAAAGGGCTGGCAGCTCTTCCCATGGGGGCGGCTCCAATGGGCGTGGCCACACGCTGCTGCTGCAGCCACTCTGCAGTGCCGTGGGCAGGGGTGCCAGGGCGTGCAGAGGCCGGCTGGGACAGCGCTGACGCGGAGCCCGGGGCCGCCTGGATGGTGTGGTAAAGGTCGTTGTTGTAGATGGCCACAGCTGCGCCCAGCAGTTGAGAGAAAGGAGGGGTGGTTATTGGGGGGCAAAAGCGGCGTGGCGGCAGCGAAGGTACAAGAAGCAGAGCGCCGCCTTTGCCAGAAAGGATGAAGCAGCCACCCACCACGGCGCGAAGGAGCAAGTCCTTCAGGTGCGGCAACCAGCGCCTGCCAAGTGCGAGGCGTCACCGGGCGCACGGCCAGCTCGGCGGCGGCGCCGCCGCGGGGCGAGGAGGCCATTGGGGAGGCTCGGTGGCTGGGGCTGTGCGGGATCCTGTGTGCGCTGGGAAGAGTGGCAGGACAGGCAGCAATGAGTAGGTGCTGGTCAAACATTGGCCATGGGACCCTTGGACCCTGACGCAGTGGCTTGCGGGGCGGGCCTCGCCTTGGAGTGGAGCCAGAAATACACTGGTTTCCATGTGTGAAACCAGAGCGCTGCCGACGAGATTTGGGGAGGCAACACAGCTGGACTGCATTCTGTCGCACGGTGCGCATTTGTCGCTTTTTGTATAGGCCACCGCCGCTCAACCACGGCCACCAAGAGCTGAAGAGCTGCGATTGGAGGCCTGATGGCAGCCGCGGGCATGATGCTGCGCAACCAGCATTTAGTCGGTGGTGGACAGCGAAGGGTTGAAATGCCCAGTCACTGCCGGCCCGTCTTCGAGGAGGGCGCGGCGCTGATTTTCACGCGCTGGACAGCGCTGCAGCTTGGCGTTGCCAACGAGTGGGGCGGTGCCCGCAGCTCGCACAAGGCGCAGGAGCTGCTGGGGGACGTCATCGGCTGGTTCTACAGCACCAAGGGTGCGGGGGCAGAGGCGCCGCCAGCTGAGCAACGCCTGCTGCCGTCATGGCCACAGCTCCCTGCTGCGTTGCAGACCACGAGATGTGCGATCTGCAAGACCTGCTGGATGAAGCGCTGCAGCTGGATTTTAACATCCAGGCGGAGGACGACAGCCCGTACCAGGTATGGGGGTGTGGCCTGTCATACCTCCACTATGGCTGCCCAGCTGCCACCGGTTCCACGTTGCATACTCTCTTCCGCAGGTGGCGCGCCTGCTGGTCAACATGCACAACCAAGTGGCGGCGGGCGACTTCTCCTACGTGCAACAGATGAGGGTGGCAGCCGCGGCGGCTTCCCAGGTGGCTGCAGCCAGCCAGCGGGCACCCAACGGGTTGTCGGAGGCGGATGAAGACAGCAGCAGCTCAGATGACGAAGGCGGGGACAGCCAGGACGGCAGCAGCAGGAATTCCATGGATGCAGAGGTGAATAGGAAGCCTGTCGAGCTCGCGCTTGTCTTGGCTGTTGATATTGCACCTTGATGACACACACACGCACCCGCTGCCGCGAAACATTGGCCCAGCATGCATTGCTGCTGTTGCATTATGCATCGCTGCACCATGCAGGGTAGCGAAGACATGGATGTGGACGATAGTGGAGCAGCACCACAGCAGCGGCAGCAACAACAGCAAGGCCCCATAGTGGACGCGGACGGTTTCCAGGTGGTGAAACGAAAGGGCAAGGGCGGCCAGTGCTGATGTGCGGATGTCTCTCACAAAAACCAATAGAGTCTTTGCTCTTTTGCCCCAGTAGTTGTTTTTTGCTGTCCCGCACTGCTTTCCAGCTTTACGGTTCCTGCTGCTTGCTGCTACTTAGTCTTTCTCTCCATTCATACTTCTTCAGCAGAAAAACACATATGTCCTCGGCTCAAACGACAAGCACGAGAGTGAACACTACGAGCGCAAGACAGAGTAGCCTTCGAGCTCCAGCTTGTCCACCAGCCCCATGTCGCCGGTGGTCACAATGCGCCCATCCTGCATGATGTGGACTTGATCGGGCCGGATGTAGTCCAGTAGCCGCTGCAACCAGCCAATGATCGGTTGTTGGGAGTCGGTTCAAAACTGATATGTGAGAGCTGCACACGGCTGCAGGCGCTGTCAGGGATGCTGCCGGCGTCGTACCTTGTAGTGCGTGACCATCAGGATGCCCATGTCTGGTCGCTGCGCCTTCAGCCCATTTACCGCCTTGGAGACATCCCGCAGCGCGTCAATGTCCAGGCCTGCACGACAAGCCAGGTGTTGCTGTTGTACAGGCCCTGCTGCTGTGTGCATGGCACTCGCATTGCAGGTCAAGTGCATGGCGCACAGCCGACGGGTGATGGAGGAGCGGAACTCGGGCAGCAAAACAGTGGCAGCCGCTCCACACACGATGAGCCTGCCCTCACCAGAATCGATCTCATCCAGGATCGCCATGTCTGCCTCAAGGCAGGCCAACTGCAGAATCTCATTTCGCTTCTTCTCGCCACCTGCGCTGGGGATTGGGGGAGGGGGGCAGAATTGTCGTGCCAAGAAACCCTTCGCCTCCCAACTTTGGTCGAGACTGAACGCGTCGGGACACGAGAGGTGAAGACTGGGCTTTGCAGGAGCCCGAAGCAGTAGACAGCACCTGAGAAGCCCTCGTTGACGTTGCGGTTGAGGAAGGCGGGGTCCATGTTGAGCGACTCCAGCTGCGACGCCAACAAACACAAGCACATTGGGGGCTGCGCAGGAGTCCATGGCATGGCAGGCTTGCGCTAACCAGGCATTCTCTGCTTTGATAAGTGACTACGGCACCCGGCTCCGGCACTAAATAGCCTGCCCACACAGCGCGCTCCACCTTGGGCATGACATGGGCATAGAACTCGAGCGGGTCCAGCTCAGGCTCCCCATTCGCGCTGCGCCGAGCATTGGTGGCTATCCGCAGAAAGTCGATGTTGCTCACGCCCGGGATCTCCACGGGGCTCTGGAAGCTGCAGGCAAGGTAATCGGGGTCACCCAGGTCGGGTCAGGCTCTGGGTGGGCAGGATGACGCAGGTGGGAGCCACACGCGCCTGAGGAAGAGGCCCATGTGCGACCGCCGCTCCGGTTCCAGCTCAAATAGGTCCTGGCCCTTGTACGCCGCACTGCCGCCGGTCACCTCATAGTCAGGGTGGCCCACCAGGACCTGCGGCAAAGCGCCACCGCCGTCCGTCAGGCGGCGTGCGGTGCCAGGGCGGCGGCGGCGCCGCCGCTTCCGCACGTCCCTGCAGCGCACCTTTGACAGCGTGCTCTTGCCCGACCCGTTTTTTCCCATGACTGCGTGCACCTCGCCCTGCTTCACCACCAGCGACACCCCCTTCAATATCTGCTGGCCCGTGGCTGCAACTTTCGCCTCCAGGTCCTTGACCTCCAGCAGCACCTCTCCAGCAGCAGCCACAGCACGTCTGCTGAGCCGCCTGCAGCCGCTTCCATGCCGGCGGAAGGCTGCACTGGGAGGCGGACGCTGCAAGCTCGCGGTCGCCATGCTTGGTTTATTGCGATTGAATGCACGAAGAGGGGAGTGAACGACGGCATTACATTGCCAATGTACTGGTGGGAAACGCGGGGGTGCGGACGAAAACACGCATCCCCAATCAATTTTACTTGCCAAGAATGCTGGCAGCCGGCGCCGCCCACGTTGCGTGCATCCCAATTTCAGCGCCCGCCAGCAGCAGAATGTCGCGCACAAACTCCCTCACGCGCGGCTCCTTGCACATGATGCAGTCGCACAGAACGCCGTAGAGCAGCAGCAGGTGTGTGCGCTCCCGCCCGCGGGCGCGCACCTCGGGGCGCGAGCGCAAGTTGGCTACCATCTGCAGGCGGGTGCAGGGCACCCACACACGTGCTTCACAGCGCCGTGGTAAAACTCACAACCTCTCCCACCCCCCACTGACCCGGGCACCTGGGCGAGGAACTCCGAGGGCGGCATTGCCGCATCTGCCACTGCCGGAGACAGGGTCATGCTGGCCAGCGCCTCCAGGATGCACAACACTTCATCCAGCTGGGATCGGCCCCTGGGTGCGCTACAGGCAGAAAGGTCCGGCGGGCGGAAAGGGCCTCAGCAAAGCGGGCGGCGGGGGGGGTCCAGGTCCGAAGAGTAGAGCATAGCTTACTTGGTGCTCTGAGAAGTGGTGGCGGGGCGCGCCTGGTCCTCGGCGTATGCACGCAGCACCGCATCACAACGTGCCAGGAATACGGGCAGTGCCAGGCGGGACACCTCGAGCAGGCAGCCGTCGGGGTCGCTGCCGCCGCTGTCACGGGAGCACAACACGTACATCTTGCGTATGCAGACGTGAGCAAAGTTGCTGCTGGTGGCGGCCTGCAGGCAGAGGCAGCATTGACGCAAAAAATCATGCACTGCAGAGCTTCGCAAGCTGCATGCAGAACAGAAGAGAAACAGTTCAGCCCTGCTGCTCATCTAACATGTACAACTCAATTGACACCAACTACAATAAATTGCTGCACCTGAGGCACGCTGAGCTGCTTGGGCCGCGAGGCACCCCTATCCACAATGTTGATGAGGCGTTGCTTCATCACAACTGAGGTGGCAGCACACTGAGTGAGCACCGCATCCGCCAGGCAGTCCAGTACTGCAACCTCCAGCTCGGCATCCGCTCGGGCCTGCTGAGGACTGAACGGTGCAGGTGCTGCGGCACCCGCCAGCGCCGGCAGCCCAAGCGGAGCAACAGCAGCAGTGCTGATGCCAGAGTCGTGCTCTGGCTGGTGAGCGCTGGTGTCGGTGGCCTCTTCCCATTGGCTCCCCGAACGGCTGCCCCTGGTATCAGGAGCAAGCAACAGGCTACCATCATATCGCGCTGCAGCCCGGTGCAGTGGCAGTTCCCTGCCACCAGGCTGTGCTGATGCCACAGCCACCAGAGTGTCGGCGCCTAAAAGGAACGTCTCCAGTGCATCAGCCAGTGCCTCCCAGCAAGCCGCCGTATCTTTGCCCGCTTGGGCCGCTGATGCCACTGCAGGCAGCCCTGCCGGGACAGCTGCATTGAACGCCTGGGCGCCGATGCGCCACAGCCTCTCTTGATACACAATGTAGCGGACCTGTGCCCAGGAACAGCGCAGGGAAGCCTTCTCTGCAAATTTGCTAACCTGGCTGAAACGAGAGCACCACAAAGTGATAGAGAGATTCCAACCAGAGGGCTCGCCAATCCGGTTGCCCACCCACCTCCATGCAGCGTCCCAGTCCAGTGATGACCGAGGCGAAGGTAGCCGCCCGCACATCCAGGGGAGCATTCATGTACACGGCGAGCAGCTGCTCAATGACCTGCACAGCAGACGAAGATTTGTGCAATGCAGCAGTCACAACCTGCCAAGCTCAAGGCAGATACAGGGGCTCCCACGTCCTTCTGCCACGGCATGCAGTGACCCACCTTCTCCAAAAATGCAGACGTGAGTGCGAACTTGGCCTGCGCCACTTGGCCTGGCGGCTGCTTGATCGTGCCACTGTTGGCCGGACTGATGCTGCCATTGGCAAGGCTGGCAGCATTCAGGGCTAGGCCAGCTACCTGCCCATTGATGGGTTCTGCTGAAGTGGTCACCTGCTGCTGAGTCTCAGCTGCCTGATCATCTGCCCCATGTTGCTGTTCCTTCCACTGTTCTATGACATGGTCGGGCCGCAGGAGGCGCACAATGCTGTGTATGAACTCAGGATAAAGGCGTGGCACGTGAGTTGGCGCCAGCTTTGGAAGCATGGCCAGTGCCGCCTTCTGCACCGGTGGCATGCCCATCACCACCTGAGCGCTGTTAGCAGCGTCATCATCTGCAGAAGCACAGCCAGCGAGAGACACGGCTGTCTTGAAGTGTTCTGATCGGCTGGCACGAATTATAATGGTGTGTGCTTTGTCCAGCAGCTAACCTGACCAAGGGTTGCGGCACGCCTTCTCAACCCACACAAACACCCGGGCGGTATCCTCCTCGTCAAACCTGAACTGCAGGGAGCCATACAGCTGGCCAACGAGCGCCAACAGCTCGATGCGTGCCTGCAAACATAATGAGGATTCGGTGCGATACGCCCATCAACATGCTTAGAATCTTTCCAGCCACACCGGATGCAAGCACTCACCGGCAGCGGCACCATGCAGGTAGGGCTCGTGGCAGCCTCCATGCCAACACCCAGAGCCCGCACTGCACGCTTCCACATGGCGGGCGCAACGATGTCGGTGATGCTTCCGTGTGCCTGAAGCACCGCCGATAGCAGGCCGATCGCAGCCAGCGCCACTTCCTTGCGCCCACCCGCCATGCTGGACTCCACGACAACCATCATCTCCTCCCAACCGGCTGCAGCATCGGGGCAACAGAATATCCGCATATGCCTGCACTGGCACAGAGTAGCTACAACCACGCCCACTGAGACAACGCAGATACTTGCCTGCCACGCGGTGGTCCATGCCGACAATAGCGGGAAGGTGGGCGCGCAGCAGGCGCGCCATGCCACTGAGGGCAATCACCACGGTTTCATCCCACTGCTTTTGCTCTGAGTTGCGGGAGTGGTGCACCATCACCCTAACCTCCTTGCCGCGGGACTGCCCCAGCAGCATAGATGCGGCCTGGCAGCATCACAGGAAGCAAAGCTGCAAAACTCGATAACGCTGGGAGCAGCAGCTAGACATGCATGCATTCTCAATGGGATGGGGACAGCATGCTCCTGTCATTCCCCCAAAACGCACCTCGTCTTTGCTGGCAGTGGCAGACATCAGATAGGCGTGTCGCAACAAAGGGAAGAGCATCTCCCACAGACATTGCTCCCAAAGGGCACGTGACAGGCGAGGCCCCTGATTAACGACCACAGCAAAGAGCGTACGCACGCCACTGTTGCGCACCTCGGGGCGCACATCCTGGCTGACGCCCTGCGTCGCAGGAGAAGGGAAGGGAGTTGACGCATCGCACAGCCGTCGCACAGCAATAAGGCCAGGCCCTTGGCACCTGCAGAGCCAGGAATATCATCTGTAGAAGCTCATCTGTTTGAGCTGATGACAGGCTGGCAGCCAGCTGGTGGCGCTTGCTACTAGGGCTTGCTGCTCCTTCACTCTCACTGCCTTCGTTTATGCCATCTTCTGCTGACAGCGCCAGCCCTATTGCTGCCTCAACCTCACTGTCTGAGGCATCGTCTGTGAGCCCTGTTGCTGATGCCACGCCCAGCTGGGAGGAGCCCCGACGTGCTGGCAGCCCGGCAGGTTTGCCAAACAGGTCAGCCGCATTCCAGAGCAAGCTGATGGTGGTGAGGCTGACATTAACGCCGGCTTGCTGGCTACTGTACAGCACCGCCACCTCCAGGCAGCGCTTCAAACGTGCAAAGGGCATGGCTGCCATGTAGTCACTGCAGGCAAGCTGCACACCCTGGAATGCCAGGTCAATTGCGTCAGGCTCGCCTGTCGCAGGCACTGCCGCCAGCAGCCGGAACACAGGCGTCCAGCCATCTGAGAGCCGCTCACCATGGCGCTGCAGACAGGAATACACTGCGAGGCTGGATCCAACACAGGCAGGAAAATTCGAGCCACAACAGCCATTACATATTCATCACAAAGCAACATGCAGCATGTAGCAGGCCGCCCCCGCCCTCTTACCTGCAGCACATTGATCAGCACACGCAATACGCCAGAGCGCACATCGCGCTCTGTTTCTGCATTGTACAGCGCCTCAAGCGCCACTAGCAGCATGTGCTCCACACCACCCGTGCTGTCGCTGACACTACCCTGCTCCTGTTCTCCTTCCGCATTAGCAAGAAGGGTGGAAGTGGAAGTGGCAGGGGCGGGCAGACTGCCCAGGGCACCAACGATGGCGCGCCCCAGAGACTCGATAGCAGCATTTCGAACCGGCGGCCTGGGGTCATTCATTACCTCCAGCACATGGCTGCAGCATGCCAGAGTAAACACAGGTAGCAGTTGGTTTATCATGTATGGTGACAGTGGTGGGCAGCAGGCTGCAGCAAAGCGAGGATGCCGCGAATGCCACAGCCAGCACACCTAAGGAAGATGGCCCACAGGTCGTAGATGCGACCAATGTTGAACAGCAGCACTTCGACCATGCGATTAAGTGCAAAGAGCTTCGGCGCCTGCCCCATTGCTGTGCCGGAGCCGGGAATGTTCCGCATGCTGACATCCCGCAGCCCTGACAGCAGGCTGACAACTGCCTCGCGGCTCATGTCGCGCGTGCACTCAAACAGCTGGGAGGCGGCAGCAGCCAGGATAGCCAGGTCACTGGACATTGCCGGCTCGCCGCTTTGTGCCGACAACTCCTGCAGCAGCAGCAGCAGCAGCAGCAGCAGCAGCAGCAGCAGCAGCAGCTGATCCAAGAGTGCTTGCCTTTAATCTTGGCGCTGAGAGGCAGCAGACGCAGGCAGCAACCCAAGCCATCACTGCTCCAGCTCCGATGGCCAGATCGCCCCACTCACCTTTGTGGTGGTGCGCGGCGAGTTGAGAATTTTGTCCAGCGTGTTCATGGTCTCCAGCACCAGTTCCCAGGCCGGGCCTAGCACATTGCTCAGGCGGTGTGCAATGTTGAACAAGGTGCGCATAGATTGCACATTTTTGGGCGCCAGCACCAGCCCAGCTTCCGCTGCCTCGCCAGCAGCAGCCAGGCTGCCCCGTGGGCTTGCCAGCTTTTCACCAGTTGGGGGCACAGCAAACATTCCACGAGGGCTTGCGTCCATCTCCCCGGCGGCAGGCTCTCCAGTGTATGCCAGCGCAAAATCGCACAAATTGGACAGGAATGCATCTCGTGGTTCCAGTAGGGGTAAATTGCCGCAAGCCTGAGTGAATGTTTGGTAGCCCTGCGAGGCGGTACCGGCAGAATCAGGATGTGTGAGAACTTCATCACATCTCTACAGAATGCATTTTCCCTGAAACATCACCTTGAGCAGCTGCAGAACTATCTCCTCCCGCGACGATCGCAGCAGCAGCTGGCTGACTGCTGCGAGCATGCCACGCCACGTCCTCTGCACCATCGCTTTACAGACATCGACATCGACATGGCCGACTGCAATGAATGAGAGTGGCCAAATGCTGTTATGAGCAGTTGGGCAGAGACTTGCAGATTTAATCTAGTCCAGCATGGCCAAAAGCCAACGCACCTGAACCAGCCCCCCCCACGCTCATCGCTACTGGCACCATGCCACCTTGATCGACTGCCACGTCGGCCAACTTCTCCATGCTGTTCATGAAGGCCAGCAAGGAGTCAACTGCCAGCATAGTGAGATAGCCGTGCTGCACTTGCTGCGATGCCATCTCAAACTCTGCGTCCATGCCCCAGTCCTTGCCTGCGTGCACCACGGGTGTACCAGGGGTGGGGATTAGCAGCAGACTGACTGACCCCACACTTACATACCAAACAGGCTGGCTGCAAGCACCTGCTGTCCTGTCGCTGTACAGTGCCGCCACGACATCCAGCGGTGGATCATCCTCTGGGTCCTTGTTGGAGGCTTTCAGCATGGCATCCACAACCTCGCCAGCAGCCTGGCATAGCGCCTGCGGCAATGATGCACATCATTGGATAATGGGCCGAAGGATGCGCAGACCCAGCCATGACCCAGTGCACTGTTGACGGCTATGTATCACACTACAGCATTTACCTGAACAGCATCCAGCCTGCGATCTTCAGACAAGTCAAACATTGCAAAGAGGTGGTAGGTGAGCAGCGGGTCGGCAAGTAGCTGGCGGATGAGTTGCATGACCGCGATGCGTTGGTACAGGGGGTAGCGTGCAGCCAATCCTGCAGGGGGTGTTGACGGCTAGGGCAAAGTGTGCAGGGGGTGTTGACGGGTAGGGGTGTTGACGGGTAGGGCCAAGTCCCAGACAGCGCATACGCAACAGAGAAAGCGGGGGGGGGAAGCACACGCACGCTCATCCCCAGGGACACACCTGCCAGCAGCGCCTGGACCAGCGCGCCGCTGCGAGTGTCCAGCAGTGTGTAGAAGCTCCGTAGCAGCGTGCGCATGAGGCGCAGCAGCGCTTTGAAGGTGGTGAAATTGTTGATGGCAAAAGAGGCGCTCGCGGCGCCAGCATCCAGGTGGTCCTGCAGCTGCGCCTGGATGAGCTGAGGCATGCGTGCAGCCAGAGCGCTCTGGAAGGGTGCCAGTTCGCGGAACACGGCCGGCGAGTTGGTCAACACAAAATCGAGCAGCTCCAGCACAAAGCTGCGTGGCAGGGAGGGTGACTTGAGCCACACAGGCGGCACACCTGCATGCAAGCGCAGGAGGTGGAGCCAAGGGTTGGAGGGGGGCATGGCTAGCGTTCGGAAGAGTGGAAAGCATGGCTTTGGAAAGCATGCACAGTGTAGGTTGCAGCAATGGCACCATTGGTGATGCCTGGTAGCGTGAAATATGAGCCGAAAACCTCTAGCTCACCCGATGCCATGTTGCACAGGTCTTCGATGAGCTTCTGGGCTGCAGATGCGGCGTCGCCAATGGGTGTTGGCTGCGCTGTCCCACCCCCGGCTCCACCTCCGCTCTCGTTGCCAGCGTCGACAGCCCGCAGCTGCTGGCCCTGCAGCTCCACATCTACGTCCACGTAGCTGAGCACTAGCGCCACTGCCTGGCGCACAGTGGCCGCCGCGGTGGTCAGCACCGCATCCTTGTGCCCCTTCTTGCTGGTCAGCCGCAGGCATGTGCCCAGCACCGCGCCAATCTGCTCCTCGGTGCGTGGGCGCAGTGGTGACTGCAGCATCGTCAGCGCCGTCTGCAGCGTCTTCAGCTGCACGTTCTCGTCCGTGTTCTTGTCCACACGCGCCAGCATGGCAATGACTGCATCGCCCGCCTCGGCTGGCAGTACATGGTTGGCGATGAGGTTCTGTGTCAGCGCCAGCGCGCGGCTCTTCAGCCGGTCGCTCTTGGTCTCCAGGCTCAGCTGCAGCGGCCTGAGCACCTCCTGATCTCGCCAGGGGTGGGGTTGGGGGGTGGATGTTGTGGGGGAGGCACACCAGAGCAGGCAACAAATGGCGCAGTAGACCGGCCGGCACCTGGTAGTGTGCCTTGATGTGGTCCAACGCATCCGGGACGTCGGCATAGTTGCGCATCTTGAGGATCACCCGCTCTGCCGCATCCTTGACAGCCTGCTGGTCAGCAGAACTCATGAAGAAGCCGGCCAGGCCCTCCTTGCTGCGCGCCTCTGAGGCCAGCTGACGAAACTCACTCTCCAGCACCGCCACCACGCCCGGCGCGGGCATCTTGAAAAAAATCCTGCGATGTTTGAAAGCAGAGCACTTAGGTCCGGCAACGCCGGCGGCGGGCGGGAGGCGGAGGGAGGCCGGAGGACGCGTCACTAAGCTTGGCGGGAGAGTTGGCTGATCGCCTCGAATGGGCTGCTTGCCTCCAGCGGCTACCGTGCGCCCGCTATTCCTCCCTGGAGGACAGTGGATGGCGTTTGACTTTGCGCATCACTTGCTCACTTACTCACTTCGCCCTCCATCCCAAGAGAGACACGAAATCTAGAATACGGCACGAGGGGGAGAGTTTACAGCTCAAGCAGTACATGTACTGCGGAACACACTTCTGCAAGCTCTCCTGTCGCCTATCGTTCTTATCCTGGTGCAACTGAAGGCTTGGACGCGGAGGTGCGACGGGCCGCTGCATGGCTGCGATTTTGCTATTTGATTTTTGTCCTTGCCCTTCATACCTCCCTCCTGGACACCAAAAGCCAGTCCCTCAGATGCTGCCTTCGAAACCCAGACGTCGCGTCCTGCGCCCTGCTGCAGCCGGCGGCGCCGCCACCGCCCCATCCGCGGCATGTTTTCGAAGCTGACCGCCCTCGTGGGAGGCGGCAGCGGCTTGCCTTTCGATCTGGGCGAAGAGTTTCCCAGCTCGTCATCATTTTGCAACTGGCAGCACTTTAGGGGCACGACCAAGGCTGATGGCTCTCCCGTGTCCGTCTTCCGCCTCGCCGGCCCCAGCAAGGGCGATCAGCGCCTGGAGGCGGGGCGCAACGCTGCCAAGCGCCTGCGCACGCTGCGCCATCCCGCCGTGCTGGTGTTCAAGGAGCTGGTGGAGGTGGAAGAGCGTGGGGAGGCGGTTGTCTATCTCGTGACGGAGGCGGTCACACCCTTGTCCCTGGTGCTCAGCGACATGGATTTGACGACGCGCCAACAGTATCTCAGCATGGGCCTTGGCGCCACAGTCGGTGCTCTTTCCTTCCTGGCCAATGACTGTGCCCTGGTCCATGGCGCCGTCTGCATGGCGGCCGTGGCGGTGACTCAGACGCTGGACTGGAAGCTGCACGGCTTTGACGTCATGTCCGACCACCAGTTTGCCAGCCAATATGACCTGCCGCTCACTGCGGCTGCCTGGCTGGTGCCGCAGCAGTTCAAGCCAGGGGAGGTGGCCAAGGGCGACTGGCAGGTGAGGCTGGCTGGCGAGCGGCACAGTCCATGCTGCCGCGGCCTGGCAGCCAATCGCCGCCACTCACCGTCCCTGTTGTTTGACTGGTGTGTGCTTCTCATACGCTCAGGCCGTGAAAGACGGCCCGGCCTGGGGAGTGGATGCCTGGGGCCTGGGCTGCCTCATGCAGGAGGTCTTCAGCGGCAGCCCACTGGCGCGGACCGAGGACCTCCGCAACACCGGTGGGTGAGCCCAGCTGGGCCTTTCGCCCATGAGCAGGCAAGGGGTTGTGTGTGTGTGTGTGTGTGCGCATTGGAGCTCTACTTGATGAATCGCCTGCCACTGGCGCTGCAGATTGCATCCCCAAGGACTTGATGCCGTACTACCAGCGCCTGCTGGCCTCGCAGCCGGCGCGGCGGCTCAATCCCAAGCAGCTGCTGGAGGCGGGGGTATTGCGCAACAGGCTGGCAGAGGCCACCAGCTTTCTGGAGAACCTGGCCATCAAGGACACCATGGAGAAGGTGGGGCCGCTTGAATGCCTGCTCCTGCGTGCTGCTGCTGCAATGGTTCCAGGCTGGTTGCAAGCCAAGCTGCCAGGGTCACTGCTGTTGTCATCTTCCTGGTTTGAGCTGCAGGACACGTTCTTCAAGAGGCTGCCCAGCCTGCTCCCCTCAATTCCCCCGCTGGTGGCGCAGCGCAAGCTGCTGCCGATGCTAGCCAGCGCCATCGAGTTTGGCGGCGCCCCACCGGTGCGCCCTACCACGTTGTTGCCCTCACACACGCACTCATCCGTACACCTTAGCGTAGTGCAGTGTGTATGTCATTCATGCCCCAGGTTGCTCTTACAACGCTGCTGGAGATTGGCAAGACGCTGCCAGAGGAAGACTACTCCAAACAGGTCTGCTTACAGACGTGAATAATGTTTCTTTGCCTTCACCTCACTTTAGGGATTGAATGTGGGCTGTCGATTGTTGGCTGGAGTGCAGGTGGTGCCCATCCTCACCAAGCTGTTTGCGTCTAGTGACCGCGGCATCCGGCGTGGCCTCCTGGAGAACATTGCCACCTATGGGCCTGCTCTTCAGGACAAAATCGCGGAGGAGCAGGTACTGGGCTGACTCAGTAAAGTCAGCTACTTGAACTGGTTATTTGTGAAGCAGAACCCGCTCTTATGCCGCCCCTGTTGGTTATCACCCTTACCTGCAGATTTACAACCATGTGGCGTCCGGTTTCAGCGATGGCAACCCATACCTGCGGGAACTCACCCTGAAATCCATGGCTGTGCTGGGTCCGAAGCTCAGCCAAAAGACGCTGAGCCAGTCGCTGCTGAAGCACCTGGCCAAGCTCCAGGTCTGTGCTGGTGGTTTGAGTCGAAGCCATTCCTTGTGGTGTGCAATGGCTGCAAATGGCCCCATGTCCACGTGCAGGTTGATGAGGAGGCCTCCATCCGTGCCAATACCACCGTGCTGCTTGGTAACCTGGCTACCCACTTTTCAGGTGTGAGGCTGTCTTTGGTCTGGTTGCAGTCCCATCGTGCCTGGCAATTTGCTGTGTGTAAACAAAGACCTGTGGGCCCCCGCTAATGCAGAGGCCACCTGCAAAAAGGTGCTGCTGAATGCCTTCACGCGAGCGCTGCGGGATGGCTTCCCCCCTGCCCGTGTCGCTGGGCTGAAGGCCATCGTTGCTACAGCCCAGTACCACAGCCCCGAGGATGCTGCTATGCGGGTGCTGCCAGCCGTGGGGCCACTGTGCATCGATCCCGTGCACGAGGTGCGTGCTTCGGCGCTGGCCTGCCTGGAACACTTCACCAAGGCGCTGACGGGGCACCACAGGGAGCTGGAGCGCAAGGCAGCGGTGCAGGAGGGCGAGACAAGCGGGGGCAAATTGATAACGGCATCGGCGCCTGGAAGCAAAGAAGGGGGCAGCCTGCTCAACAGCTTTGGCTGGGCTGTAAGTAACCTGGGGCTTGGGCGCAGCTCAGCGGATGCTGCGGGTGCCAAGCCGGCGGTAGCAACCGCAGGCATTGTTTTGGAGCCGGCGTTGGCAGCGGCGTCTGCGAGCAAGCAGGTGGACGCACCCCCGCCAACAGTGGCCTCCCACATAACGGGGACGCCAGCTGCACCACCTGCCACCAGCAGTGGCTGGGACGATGATGACCTGGCTCAGGACATGATGCGTGACGCGGAGGCGGGTGAGTCGGTTTCGAGCAGACGCCTCCTTGCAGAATACTTTCCTCTGATCCCGGGGTTTGTCGCTTTTTGTTTCCCACAGAGCGCAAGGCGCGGCAACGGCTTTCCAAGTTGGGCACGGGCAGGGCAACAGCTGGTTCGAGGGTACCACCGGCAGCAACATCAACAGCAAGCAGGAGTAGCGAGGGGTGGGGGAATGATGAGGGCTGGGAGGATATGAGTCCCGCGCCTGCCACAGCTAGCCAGAGCGGCAGGCCAGCAGCAAGAGCAGCAACCGCACCGCGGCGGCCGGCAGGTGCACACACGCTAGGCAGCGGCATTGATGGCAGTAGCACTCTACGGAAACCCTCCGGCGCTGGTGTCTCAGGCAATGCGTTGCGGAAGCCTGCCAGCACTGCCGGCGGGGGTGGCGGCATGAAGCTGGGGGTCAGCAAGCTTGGGGCCAAGCTGAAAGAAGACGATTTTTCAGAGTGGTAGCTGCGCTCGATGCCCTAGCACGGGGCAGGGATGCAACTGCAAGCTAGATAGAAGAAGAAAGTCCACTTGTAACTTTTCATGGGCTGCGGTGGCGCTGAGCCGCGACGGGCGCGCTGGCCTTCCACCACCACACCTCCAGCTCTGTCACCCACGCCTCCAGCGTCTTCCTCTCGTGCTCTTCTTCTTCTTCTTGTGCTAGCGCATACACTCCGCTGCTGCCGAAGGAGTCGTCATGCAACTGGCTGCTCCATGCTTACACACAGCGCGCAGCAGCAGCAGTGGCGTGGTTGCTGCGCATCCCATTTACACGCAGCGAAGGGGCTTGGCGCAGCGAGGCAAGTCCCCGCCGTCGGCCGCTGCCGCCACCACCGGCCGCAGGAGGACGCTTCAGGTGAATGAATTGGGGGCTCTGATCCGTCAAACTCAACCAAATCCGGGCAACTGCCTCCACCCAGTCACCTCTGCATGCTGTGCTTAGCGCTTGCAGGCTTCTGCAGTTGGAGCGGCAGCTGAGCAGGCGGCCATGAAGGTGGTTGAGGTGGACCTGGATGATCGCACCTACCCCATCTACATTGCACGCGGGCTGTTGGATCAGGGGGAGCTGCTGCGAAAGCACATTCCTGGCAAGACCGCACTCATCATCACCAATGAGACCATTGCACCGCTCTACCTAGACAGGTGGGCATGTGCAGTAGGTGTGAGTGCGCTTGGTGATGTCTTCTCCGGGATGCGTACCACACGAGTTACACACATCCATGCAGGTGCCTGCACTCCATCACAGCCAGCGGCGACATCAAGGCCGAGGTCGTCATCCTGCCGGATGGCGAGCAGCACAAGACCCTGGAGGTGCTGCAGAAAGTTTGGGACAAGGCGCTCGAGTGCAGGTGGGCAGCGGCATCGAGGAGGTGCAACGATAAACACCGAGAATGGACTGTCTGGCTGTTGTCACAAACATGGTGTTGTTGATTGCGCCCCGCCTCTAGGCTGGACCGCAACACCACCTTCATTGCGCTGGGTGGAGGCGTGGTCGGCGACATGACAGGGTTTGCGGCTGCAGCCTACCAGCGCGGTGTGCATTTCATCCAGGTGCCAACCACGGTCATGTCGCAGGTACTTGCTTGGCTATCCAGCAGCAGTACTCGCACGAATCTCCCGCTGGGCACCGCGACAGCGTATGCTTGAGGGCTGGCCACGAGCACCCATGAGTCCAGTGTGTGACGAGATGGCGTGTGCCTGTGTGCGCTCCACCCACCCAGGTGGACTCGTCGGTCGGTGGCAAGACGGGCGTGAACCACCCGTTGGGCAAGAACATGATTGGCGCATTCTACCAGCCTCGCTGCGTGCTGATTGATACCGACACGCTCAACACGCTGCCTGACAGGGAGCTGGCCTCTGGCATCTCAGGTGGCCTGCTGGGCGGCTGGCTGGGCCTTCTTCTATCGAATTCTATCGAACGTATATTGACATTTGCAGTGGCGAATTCTTCTTCTCTGCCATTTGTATTCTCTGCAGAAATCATCAAGTATGGCTTGATTCGGGACGCGGCTCTGTTCGAGTGGCTGGAGCTTAACATGGAGCGGCTTCTTCAGCGCAACCCAGAGGTACAGGCAGCTTCGTTGGGGCGGGGCGTGGGCGTGGCAGGGCGACGGCGTGTGGCTGTGTGCCGCCGCCAGGCCGGGGGCGGCTCTGCGCCATCGCAGGCCCCTAGGCACCCACCCCCACCCCAGAACCCCACCCTGCCGCTGCCGCGACCCCC